GTCGGCACCGGGAAGTACCTCAAAGACCTACCGAAGAAAACCTTTGACGCGCGGGAGTTGGAAGGGAGCGGATGCGAAGCCGGGAGGTTCGATGGAGAAGTCCATGTGGCTGGGGCAAGTCCACGAAGCGGATCAGGAAGACCGTGGCGCGATTGGATCCCTCGCAGCTTCGATTGGCTTCGCGTAGCCGTAGCCCTATCCAGCGGGTGAGGCGGTGGAACCTAAATCCAAGCGTGTGAGAAATGAAGGTGAGGAAGCCAACGACTTCGTCCCGTCGTTGGTGTCACATTCTCCTTCGTTCTGTGGAGACAATGAGCTGCGCATTGATGAGGGGGGGGGGGGGGCGGGCGAAGAGCAGTGGTGCGGGTTCATCACGAGCGCCGTGATCATCAAGGTCCAGGAAAACAGTCAGCACACGAGCATTGAGACAGAGCAGCGGATTGAGAGCCCGAAGCATTCCGAGAAGGGGCACGACTGGCTTCTCATCTCTAAGGCGATCCAAGAAACTGGATAAGAATATGATAATCATTCATTTGCATCCAAGGAATTAGGAGAGCTCCAACAAAAACAAGAAGCAAACCAGGACCTGCACCGCATGGGGCGGAAACTGCCTGGGTGGGACTGCCACATTGATCCTCAACGCCTGCAAGAAGATTGTAAGATGACGGAAGTGAGTCATTGTCGAGGAGCTCTTGGGGCCGTGCTCTTGGGGCTGGCAACTCAGTACGCACCCTTGTTGTGTGCCAGGCGCACTTTGCTTCTGACCGACCTGGGTGTGAATTCGCGGCAAGCAGCTGCAGAACCGCATCAAGGAGGCGCGGGCTGCGACAAGATACGACGCTTTCACGTGGCGGATCAAGCAGATGGAAATCGGCCGAAGGGCGAGTTGACGGGAGGTTTGCTGGTTGTGATGCGTGGCCCTTCGGTGCCGAGATGGCATGGAGAACCTGGAAGCTCAAGAGAGTGGCGATTTCGTCAAATGATGGAGAGATCCATGCAGGGCGGGGTGAGACGGATGTGGGCGACAAGGAGAAGAACATCCTGGCTGCGGGCTGCGGACCATTCAAGATTGGTCCTGCCTCCAGGGAGGATTCGATGCGGCGCAGAGAAATGGAGGTCCCTTCAGGCTTTCCAACACCCCAGCTTTGTGCAGAAAGTCAAGCTGCAGTGGCTGGCAAGTTTGACGAAGGAGGCCAAGAGTCCAGGGAGCAGTTGCTGGACACATGGACGTGGCAGCTGAAATATGACCCGTATTTTTTTTGGTCAGCACTGAGACAAACGCCAGGACGGGCCAAAGTGCCATCCAGGTGATTTTCATGAACGCTGCTGATGGGCAATCCTGAGAGCCTTAAGGCAAAGCCTTTGTGGGGTTGCTGCGGTTAAGCGAATCCCGATTACCTTTTGGGCTCTCACGAGCCACAGACTCGTCACCTGATGGTGATCGCATGGAGAGAAGCTGCAGAGGGCAGCTAACAAATATGAAGCAACTACCAACAGCCACTGCGTAAAGGGTGTATATACTCCGTTTTCCCTTGGGCACCCCGCAATATCCCAATGGATGTTTTTGCCAAGGCCCGGGCACGGAACAGCGATCAAGATCATCGCGCCAAGGTGGCTTGCAGGCAAAAGCGTCGCTCCTCAGATGCAACTTCCAGGCTTGGCAAAAGCCCAAGAACAAATGGTTACAAAGGTGAAGGCCCTACTATACCCCATGAAACTGGGCAGTAGAACCATCTACCAAAATGGCCAATTCGGGGGGGGGGGGGGTTGGGCGTTGGATCTTCAGGCCCTTTGGGCAAGTGAGCCGTTTGAGCAACCGAGAACCATGGCCAAATGATATCCTCAAGCGTATGGCAAAGCCCTGGCGCCCGCTTTACCTCCAAACCCTCTATGGGTATGTGTTTTTTGACGTGGCCGTGCCGGGAGGTTGGTATGAGGGGTATGAATCGCAGGTATGGTTCGGGGTATGGCTCGGGGGTATGATTCGGGGTATGGCTCGCGCCGCTTAGTTGCTACAAGCCAGCCTGGGGCGCTTGTGAGTGGCCTGAACTATAGACAGCTGCCACTCTGCGTGAGTGGGTTAGCGAAAGCTGCTGCGCTAGGTGGAAGGCGCAGAGCCACTGCCTGAGGCGAACGTCATGGCCACCTCCACTTGGAGTTCAAGCGACCCGCGTGCTCACAGACCCAAGCAAGCGTTGCTTAAGGGGAAGCGCCGCTGCCCAGTCAGGCCCGCCACCCGCACCAGTCACGAACCAGCGTAAGGGCAAGACAGCGTGACATCCTCAAACGGCAGCCGCGCAGAGGCTAGTGGGCCTCGCACAGGTGGTGCACCGTGTCGCGCTTGATACATCGCAGTAAGCCTTCCGAACCCACCTTCTGGCGAACTTCTGCGAAAAGAGCCGCGAGCTGGTTCCTGCAGTGCTTCTCTTTGAGTTTTGTGTCTTCTGAGGATTCGGGCGGCATAGCTTCGCTAGTACTGCCCAGCGCGCAAGAGGCTCTTGGCTGCAAATGGCAGCAGAAGGGTATGAATCGGGGCATGAATCGGGTATGAATCGGGGGTGTGAGTCGGGGGACAGATTTTTTGCGACCGGAAAGACACCAAGAGTACCCCAGGAGCACAAAGACAGCTTGTGTTTCACTGCGACAGTGGCCCAGGACAGACAGCTGTTTCCACCGCGTCGGACAGAGTGCAGGAAGCAAGCTCCAAGTTTCAAGCTCAGCAGCGGCACCCCCCGCCACAGCGCCCTGCAAGTCCTAGCGTCTTACGTCAAGCTGCACCCCCCCGCCACAGCACCACGGATGCTACAGACAACTCTAGTACCAGGACATCCGCAGGATTGCTCTATAACTCCATCCATTGGCACTTTCCATTGAAAATAGCAAGCAGAGACCGAGGTGGGTAACCGAGTGTCAAGGAACACCACTTGAGCCAAAATGGCCCCCCACGAGTAACCAGTGAGTGTGTGAGTGGACATGTCAACTGTACTTGCCCCATGACATCAGAGCCCAACCATGCAAGCATCGCAGACTCAAGAATAGATCCAGGAACCGCAAGTGAACCAGGTATTACCTCGGAGTCCCTACCCCCTGGCATCGGTCCACATGTCAAGCTCTCTAACACTGTTTCTTGACAAGACCCCCTTCTTCCCCCCTATAGCTTCCAGCTATCCATGGATTACATGCAAATGCCACAGTTCTTGCAAGTTGTTTTTTTGTGTTTTTTAAGGGGTATGACTCGGGGTATGGCTCGGGGGTATGGTTCGGGGTATGATTCGGGGGTATGGCTCGCCCAAGCCCCACCTCCCACGAAGACTAAAGAACTGACACGGTAAAAAAACACAGACCCATATGGACAACATCTGCTTGCCTAGGAATTTGTTTTTCCCGTTGGCTGAAGAGTTCGATTGGTCAGAAGGGAAGTCAACAACGTTCACCGGCCACATCTTAAAACCCACAGTGGGCCTAAAGGAAGCGGCTTTGAGCGCTCCGGTGTCAGAGCGGCGCATCCGTCGCATCCTCCAAGAAGGTGGCACCCTCCGAATCCTCAGCAGCAACGGGGCCAGGCTCTGACACGCCAAATGTGATACGCGAGCCCCGGACAACATTCCGAGCTTTCCCCAAGTTTGATGGACCTGGTCTTCGTTCCTACTTTTGGGTGGGGCCCGCATGTCCTCGCCACACTAAGAATAGATTATACCGTTAAACTTGTTTTGTGTGCAGTTTACACTAGCGACCCTCATGGCAGTGCGATCGCTGCATGACGGCAGCGCATAGCAATCTTCGGCAGATTTGATGAAGTGCAAGCGCAGTTCGGTTCAGAACACGAAGCGCTCTCTCTTTCAATCAGCAGTGCCGGATGTGGTATTTCACGCTTTCAACATCCCGAAGGAAAATCATTTAAATTTGGCAACCGAGACGTGAGACGTGAACTGCCCTGAACAAACTTAAAACTGGACTGAGCCTCAGGGAACTTTCCTGCGAGCTGCGCCCTTCTGGTTGGTCGCGATAGTCATTTCCAGCTTCTCCAGCTGAATTGGCACCCCCACGCCTCCGCATGATAGGCATCAAGTCTGCTATGTTCGGCAACCAGGTGTAAGTATCCATGATGGGAATCTCTGAACCCTACCCCTCGTTCCAATCTGGCCACATAGACACCCTCGGAGAAAAGTCTGCAGCCTCCGGGTGGCCGATTGAACGGCCGTTCAACACCAGGCCAGGGAGTAGAAGCCCCTTCTTCACTCTTCCAACAGGAAACGATAGGTGCAGGGAACCACAAGTAGTGGTTTAAACATGTCTCGACGCTGGGCGGGCCCGTTCTGGTTCGCCCTGGTTACAGAAATGACACAAGGCCCAAACGAAGCTCCCGATGCGAATGCATTCCCGTCCTTGCCAAGTTCCAAATGAAGCAGAAATGCTTGGTTCACCTTGAAGGCCAACTCGGTCCAATCCACTAAAACAAAAGCAAAGAAAGGGTATGCCCCTCGCAGACTCGGAGATGCGCTTATCCTGTCCAGGGCCCCCTCATGGCCAGGCTCCGCTCATGTTGCTTCGAGCCAGCCAACAATCCCCAGAGTCAAAACTTGCTCAAAACCCTACCCTTATCCGGAACATAGTGGGGGACCACTACAACAAGGCAAAAGACAAAGACTACGAAGTGGCAGAGCGGTAGCGGACTAATTGGGCGGGGGTTCTCTTTAGCAAGGACTAGGTAGGACGGGTTCATAAATCCGTCAACATAAATCCCGCCTGCGGCCCCCGGAGTGGTGGCACTGACCATCATCGCGCCCAAAGAGGTGGCGAAAAAGAGCATCACGACCTCGGTTTCCGATTCGTTGGGCTGCAACCTGATCCCGCAATCCCCTAAGGGAAAAATAGACTAGCCCCAGTCAGGGCCCAGGTTAGTTTGGGGGGATTTAACCCATGGCTGGACAGGTTTCTCTTTAAAGCGGCCCAGGAGTACGTTCCTGGAGCCTCCATTGCTACCTTAATTTTCGCTACGAAATATTTTTGCTCGTGACACGTTCTTCTCAAAAAAACGCTCATTTTAACAGAAAGTGCTCGAGACATCCGCGCAAATGCAATTTGCTACCTGCGATTGGTAGCATTTTTTGAGTTTGCGCTCGTTTGCGCTTTTTTTGCGCCGATTTGCGCTCGTTTTGCACTTTTTTTGCACATTTTTGTGCCCTTTTTGGCGGCAACTTGACCATGGGGAAGAAGAAAACACGGCCGAATGGGATTTCTGCCCGAATCGTCAAAAAGCGCTCGGAAGCGAATGGGAGGCAAAAAGTGCTACGTCGAGTCAATTTTGGTATCGAACAAGGGGGGAGGCAGAAATTTATGCTACCATGGAGGTTCCAGGTTTGTTAAAATACAACAATTTGCACCCAAGCCTGGTGGTGGTGGTTGGCTTCAGTTTGCGGAAGGGACACCAAAAAGCGTCGTATAAGGTGGGCAGTGGGCAACAATGCCCGTATGTATATAGAAATCATACAGGTCAGGTCTGTGAATTGAGGCAGAGACAGGCTCCCTTCTTTTTGTTCAAGCCGGTGTTCGAACAAATCCCAACACATTGTCCGTCGCTCGTACGTGCTACGTTGTGCCATGCACGGCATGATCCAACTTCCTTGTGTCGGGCATCCGCCCTGCAAGGAAAATCCTCACGGTTGCTGAAAGAAATGATGAGCATTCCGGCTACTCAACAAATCCAAAGAGCAGTTCTCACGTCTGCCCCAAACCTCGCGCCATCGGTCATTGGTGCATACTATCGCAAGCCCAGGGAAAAAGCCAAAGCCCAAAGAAACATCAGGAAACAGCCCTTTGAAGGGCTGGAGAAATGTGTTAGGGGTCACAGGTCCGGGGTGGCGTCCCTAGTCTACCAGGTTGGTTTGCAGGGCTTGCCATTACCCCTAATCGTCCGGGGGTTCGACAAGCCGAAGCTTCAAAGAGTTGGATACCTTGAAGGCGATGGTTTTCAATTCCCGGTCATCTTCCCAAACACTGTCCGCTTAGCAAAGCCTTCCCACCGAGTTCGGCCACCAAGGGTCTTAGATGGGTTGTATCCCCTCAGATTGGCCCCCTTTGGGGTTCCTTCCGTTTGTAGGGGACGCGGGCTGTAACCTCCATAGGCGACCCTTCGGAAAAAAATGTAGATGGCCCTGGCCCTGGTTCAAACAAAAACAAAAAAGACAAACAAAACGAGTCGAAACCAGTGGAACCCATCGATTTCTGACCAAACTGGCCAAGCCGACCTATAGGCCGCCTGGTGTTGCGCCCAAAGGGCCGGGCACAGGCAGCCCATGTTGAAGGTCTTCTTGTCCCGCGCCGCCGTGGCCACACGCCGCTCCAGCAAGCCCCGCATCTGCTGAACCACCGTGCCGCCTGGCACCCCGAAAAAAGGCACCGAACACCGAACCAAGCAGCTTGTTCAGGTTCGTGTTCTCCCCGAAATGTCCCCCTCCAATATGGAAGGTGGCACCAGACAGTGTTTTTTACATAAGCCCTTGCAAAAGCCTGTGCACAAGTTGTGGAGCCTTGTTTGGAGAGGGAATGACCCTTAAGCATCCTTTAAGGGAATTTTTGGGTTCATTCCCATGTCCACATTCCCTACCTATCGCACCAGCAAGTTTTTGTGAGGAGAGGGAGGAACGTTTCCCCAACATTCGAACCAGGGAACCAAATGAAGAAGAAGAAGTTGGGGTACCATGAGCCTTGTGGGAAAAGAAAGTGAACAAAACAACAAACACGTGGCCAACAGGGATCCTTACAAACGCATGGCAAACAGGGATCCTTACATTACAATTACGCCTGAACATTGCCTTGTAAATGGTGGTTTCCCTTTATTTGGGTGGAAAAAGCTATGTTTCAAATGGGCAACATGTATCTTTTAAGGAGCCCTGGCAAAGGGTGAGTCAAAGCGAGTTAAGGACCCTTGGGCCTTTCGCCGAGCTAAGGACCCCTTAATTGAACGGTTTGATTCCAAAAAATACCAGCCTGAAACCGTTGCCATCGGAAGCACTCCCTGTCATGACCCAAGTCGTGGCCTGCCCTTGAGCGAGGGGCAGTTTTCAACTTGACTGGTTGTTTGAGCAGCTTCCCCAACTTTTTCAATTATAGCTCTGCCCCACAGCTTTAATTTAACAAATGCACGGCTTGGTATAGGCTTCACTGGGCCTCACTGGTGAGCGACTGCCCTAAGTCGCGGAGTACCCAGCTGAACCTCTTGAACTAGGATCACGGGGATCAATACCATAGAACAGCAGCACGACACCCCTCGGCCTTTTTCGGCCGGAATCTCTGAAACTTCGAAACTTCGAAAGGTGAAAGAACCACTTTTCGCACTTGGATAGGGTGCTTTCAAAGCCGTCTCCTGACTCTCCATGAGGTCCAATTGGCCAAGGGACGGAAATGCACAGATGCCAACAACCGACGCTGGTCCCAAGAGCTCCAGGACAGAAATAAATGATTCCACTGGGTGAAAGTCTAAGGTCGAATCAATTTCAAGGGCAACCCGGACCTACCCAATGTCCACTTTTCCTTCACCTGCAAAGTGGACTACTCAATTGACCAAGTTGCTCCCGTTGCTCGTCTTGCACGGCTTGACTGCAAAACAAGCAAACATGCCGCCTGGATTGGGCATCACGAAGCACGGTCCCTGTGGCTCATTGTGAATCTCCTGCATCGCTGCTTGAAAGGACGTCTCCTTAGGCCAAGCACGATGCGCCGCGTCAAGAAGCGCGTGGCAACCAAAGTTCGCACCGAGGGACCCCTGATGGTTTGGCCTTGGTAAGGCGCCAGTAGGGGACAAAGCCTTAAGGCCTCCTTAACAGACTACAGTTGTCATGTCTGTCTGCCCGCGGCTTTGGAAACCAATCACGCGCGTCCCTATGACTCCATGGCGCCTGGTGTCTGCGTTGGGCGCAACATCAGTGCAAGTCCTTCCCTTGAGGCAGAACCAAAGGGAGAGCCGGCGCAAGATGGCGTCGGTAGGGTGCCTTCTCAGAAGAGGCGTTGCGCTACCACGAAGGCCAACGCCGCATTTAAGAAGGGCCCAACGACTTCTGAAAAGGCGATGCCAACTCTTCTGGGGGGCGAGCGTCAAACGCGATTGGCATTTTGAGAGCTCACAAATGCCCTCCGGGCCTGGATTCCCCCGACTACCTCAGCTTTTGGCGCAAGCAAAACACGTCGTGTTCAGGTAAACCTGATCCTCAACACAGAACCTCCTCCTTGAAACATACAAGCAAACCAGCAGAATGGATCCTTACTCATCTTCAAGTAAACTCGTGTATAGATGCGTGCGGAAGACAAACACATGTCAGGGAAGGTATCGACTGCAGCGTTTTCTGAACTCATCCTGGGCTCTGCCTCGATTTCTTGCTGCTTGTTGCCATGCTCGCCGCTGGCGACCTTGAGGAACACCTCCAAAGGACCATCATGAGTCCCAACCATCATGCTCAGAGTCCCGTGGAAACCACCCTAGCGAAACACGCCCGTCAGGGGAGATGTTTTGGCCGGTGTGAGGTTCAGTGCAACCCTGTCTAAAGACCCCCCCCCAAAACAGATTGCGGCGTCGTACGCCACGTCCGGGCCAATTGAGGCCAAACAACACAATTCCTAATCATCGCACAAAGAAATTCAATTAACACTGGTTGAACCGGCAAACGGGTTGGCGGTTGCCAGACTGCAACACCTTGAACTGGAGCCCGGGGTCTATGACCCCTTCTTAATGGTTTATGGCCTTAGTTCAGGGGCCACTTTTATCTCCTGACTTGTTGGGGGTTATTCCAACACCACCTTTCAACCAACACAAACGAATTCAGTGGGAAGGACAAAATCCATTTCGGACCACTTTAAAAACGCGGTTGCAACCATTGTTTGTTGGTATGTACACGGGAATCATCATTCCAGGGTTAGTTAGGTGGTGCAGGAATTCGTCCATCCCCAGTATGTTTGCCAGGCAAAAACAACATGTCCCTTCAAAGCCAGGGCAAAACGCACATCAGTTCGCCTCCAGCAAATGCAGGCCATGTGCGCGCATGCCATGGTGGGGTTCTCTGCTTGGTTGGTTTCAATATTGGTTTGCACTGGGCCTCTTCGCAGGAAAGCCTAGGAGTCTATGTTAACATCTGAGCCCTGGGCGCCTGTTCTACGTGTCCGTTTCTAAGCAGAGTAGAACTGACAAAAAGGATTCAACACGGGCCAAAAGGATTCCAACAGGTGGAACTGCGCCTGGGAAAAGCGCCCTTCCTGAAAGATGTGGATGTTCTTACAAAAGGTGGTTGGGTCGAAACCCCTGTTTCTAGCTTTTTCTCAAGGGAAGCACTCACTCGCGACACCAGTTTCTACTCATTTGCGACTGAACCTCATTTGACTCACTTGCGACCGAAACCTGTGTCTAATCCAACTTCTCAAAGGAACCCCGGTGCAGGTCCATGTTAAAGCGGCCCCAGCTAATCTGCTGTGAACATCGGCACTCCCATCATCCTGTGCTCCGATGGCCCAAAGGAGGCCTTACGTTTGCCACACTTTTCCCAACAGGTCGAATGTCCAGCAACGGAACTGAGTGCCCGTTGGAAAGTCTGGCTGTTCAGAATGGAGTGTTGGCCAATCCTAATCCAGAATTCCATGGGGCTGTGGCACGCCTCCTCCAAGTTGGACACGGACACGCCAAAGGTCGCCACCGAGAGAGCAGACTGGAAGGCAGATGGGTGAAACAGGAAAGCCCCGACTCCCCACATGAAATCCACAAAACCATTGGTGCGGTCAGGTCATTTCCAGGAACAGCCACCTGCAGCCCCCGCCTCTTCATGCAGAAATGGTCCCAGCAAATTGAGGGGTCAGAACTGAGCGAGAAAAAACACAGGTAGCACATAAGCCGAACCTCAGTGTCATGGTGAGTTGGTGCGGGTAAGGACTTCTGAAGTTCCGTCAGCGTGCTGTCCAACATGCCTGGTCATGTCAAATCCCTGCCCGGATTATGCTTGCACAAGCAAAATGATGACTACTTTGCTGAGAAATTACATTCGTGAAGCAAGCGCGAGACAGCACCAGGCAAGGTGCTCTGCGCAAACTGGTCGGTGCAAGTTGGTCTGCGCAAGTTGCTCTACGCAAGTTGCACTGTGCAAGTTGCTCTGCGCAAGTTGCTCCGCGCAAGTTGCTCCGGCAAGTTGGTCCCTGCAAGTGGCTCCCTGCAAGTTGCTCTGTGCAAATTGCGCTCCCTGCAAGTTGCTCTGTGCAAGCTGCTCTGTGCAAGTTGCTCTGTGCAAGTTGCTCTGCGTAAGTTGCTCTGCGCAAGTTGCTCTAGGCAAGGCGCTCTGCGCAAACTGGTCGGTGCAAGTTGGTCTGCGCAAGTTGCTCTGTGCAACTTGCTCTGCGCAAGTTGCTCTGCGCAAGTTGCTTTAAAATGCAAGTTGCATCTTGCGACGCCCGCCCGCGGACCAGGGAGGAATCGAACCCGCGACCCGCCGGTTCCGGGAGCAGGCGCGCGAACCACGAGACAACTCCCGAAGACCAGTTCGAACAACAAAAGTCGCAAAAACCTCGAGTTTTTGCACCTCCACCACGCCGATTCCGTACTCTTCAGATCTCAAACCGGGTGACCAGAGGTTTTACACCAAGGCCACCTAGCCCAAAAACAATCTGGGCGAGAGCCGCTGAATCCTTTTCCGCCGTGAGATTCATGTGCGTGTGCAAAATTCCATAGGATTGGATGCAGCTTCCACAGTGCGGAACTTTGCCTCTCGATCAAACCTTGGAACTTCGATTCAGAGCGGAGCGCGCTGCAAAGACAGCCTCGATTGCCTCGTTGGTTTCTTTTCACCTGCGAGCCGGCTTCCTGTGGGCGGGCCCCGAATGACACCTCTACGAAGGCAACCTTTGCACGTTTTGGGTTCCGTGCCGGGCGAATGCGCCATGTACAGCGTGTGGGACCGAACCTCCTTTCATGAGATGAAAGGTTCCTTCCAGGACTTGCCAGTGGGACATCAGACACCAGGCGTGGGATATCAGGTTGAGGTGCCATACTGGCAGCCCTCGATGATTCCATGTGCCCTGTATGCCACGGCTGTACACATCGCCTAAGGACCTACCAGGAGACTCACTCCAAATTGGTCGCTCCAAGAGGTTTGAAACCGAGGGACCGTAAAATACCGTAAACACTGGTGGCAGCTCCGAGCGCCGCAAAAACCCGGCCTTCTTCTCCGCGAGAGCCACCAAGCAGGAGGAGAGCTGTTGCTCCAAGTCCATGGGGACATTCACCAGCAACTCCTTCCCGACGCCTGAAGGGGCACAGAACCTCAAGTTGTTCGAAGGGATGGGCTCCGCATCACTAGAAAATGCATCCCTGCTTGCCTTATGAGAGGCAAGTGCCCCATCACCAAAAGATTAAGTAGGTCACAACCATGGTTGTACGTCAGCACACCAGGGTTGTTGCAAGGCGCAAGGCGCAAATTTGGCCGGGCTTAGCAAGACACGGGGAACCCCCGTTTGGATGAAAGGACAGGCAATCACCTGGAGAGGTACCTAACTTCCTTTACTGGGTTCGGTCGGCTACACTGTGAAGGGCATAGCCATGGGATGGGCTGTTGGGTTTGACGCCAGGTTCTTGAAAGGACATGGACACGTGACTCAACATCACCAGACCAACATTTGATACGGCATTTCAGGCGAGTTACAGCCATGAGAGATGTTGCTCCAATTAGCATGTGAAAAAAGAACAGGAGGGATTGATACATGCTCAAAGGCTAGTGGGCTTTAGCGTTTACTTTGGGCTTTGGATTGTGGGCTTGTGAGGGATGATCCATTTTGAGACCACCCCCCCCTTTTCAGGGTCTGGATGCCTCACGGCCACCGCCATGGCCAAGAAAACCTGCGCCTCCCATAAAAACTTGGGCGGCGCCCCGCAAAAGGAACCTTCCTTGTTGGGCTTTTCACGAGGTCGCGAGTTCAGTTGCCCCAAGTTTACTCAGCTGACATGAACTTCCCAAAGGCTCGCTGCCGTAATGCGGCAATCTGTAGCGAAACACCACCGCGAAAAGGGAAACCACCATCTGACATAAGGATCTTGCCTCTTGCGCCCCTCAAAACGGGTGGATTGACTTTGGTGTACCCCCAAACCCATCCCAAAAGCGCCAAACACAGGCCCAGCCAATTTCGAAGCGCCTGAGATCTGCGGTGCAGGGCCCAAAATGGCCACAAGCAGCTCCTTCACCGGGTCGTGGCTGTCACCTCTTTCCTTCATCACCTCAGACGGAAACTTTGATGCAACGATTTTGGAGCCACTTTGCAGATGGGGTAGCTTGGGTCTTGAAATGCGGAGAATCAGCTTCCCTGTAATTGGTGCTTCGGAGTGGTTTGGAGGCTTGGTGAGCTTCCCATTGAGTAACAAGAAAAGGCCAAACCATCAATCGACACACACCGATTCGGGGTTCCTGAGATGAACAAATCCCAAGCAAGAAACCTTTGTGGGTGAGAATGTCCCAACTCCTGGCTGCTTCCCCTTTAAAATTCAAAAGTTGAGTTGAATTGTCGGCGCACCGCGCTGATTTTCTGCGTCCTGTTGGATGAGCAGACTGCTCTGGTTGGCAAGATGCTGCTCCAACAAGGCGTGAGGGATATACGGCCTGACGCTGCGAGTCATGCTTGGCGTTCACACACATCGGTTTGCTTCGGTTTGTGCTTACTTTCTCCAGAACCCTCAGCACGGTTGGGCATAAATCCCAAAGAATATGATGTCCAGCAAACGGTTCCCAATTGCAACGCTTAACTACGCATGTAGATTCTCCCCAAAAGGAGGGTCCTCCATGATGTCGGACAATTCTGGATCCAAGGAGCGATGGTGAGGACGTATCCGCAGCCAAAGCGCCGTTTCAGAAAGTCGCCGGTGCCGCATGCCTCCACTTTGCCTGGTGCGATTGCTGGCTTTGGGGGATGCTCTATTTCAGGCCTGATTCTTTTTGTTTCAGCATGTTTCAGCACAAGGCCCAAAAACTGTGATCGCAGCTGAGCCCCCAGTCAGCTTAGCGTCGCTTTGTTGCGATGCAATATTCCTTGCTCATTTCTCCCGTGGCGAAGCCGGCAATGACAAGCAAGCCAAACCCACCATGGCAAACAGGGGGCTTTGCCTCTTCCAACGCAGTAGATACAGACTTGACCGTACGCATCTCTTCCTGGGAAGCTGACAGGCAGCCCATCTTAAAGGTTAAATCGGCAGCCGTGACACAGCAGAACACAGCCACGCGTTGCCGCAAATGATAGTTGTTGTTTGAAGAATCCAAGTGGTAAACAACGAGTTTGGACGCTTGTTAAGCAAATCACTTCATGGAATGAGAGCAAACGATTCCTTCGGTCCTGGCCTTTAGGAGCCTTGCCACATCTTTGGGGATGAGTTACAGGTGCTCAGAACCAGACCCCAACTACCTGCTATACGGGTCACACACGAAGATATGGTCAGCTGCAAAGCTTGGTGTGGGCCAAAGGGCTGCGCCGCTTGTCCGTTGTGCCGGAAGTAAACGTGGTGCCCTCATTTCTTGTTGCATCCAAAATCAACTGCCATCTAAATGGTCGCAAAAGGGGAAACCACCGGGTGCCAACGCAATCTCAGGAACCCCTGCCACACTGAGCCCAGAAACCGGCAGCCCGTCCGGTCCGGGGATTGCCTGCCCGCATGATGGCCACGCGGTCGCCGAGGACCCCCGCTTCATCCATGAAGTGTGTGGTCAGCAGCATCACACGGCCTTGGCCTTGAGTCAAGGCTGAACCCCGCCTGGCGAGTCCACCCATGCGGCTCCACCCATGCGACTCCCACAAAATTAATCAAAGGCATCGACTCCACAAACCCGAACACCCCAAAGGGGAAAACTGGCTTGCCCGGGGCTCCCTTCTTTTCAGGTACTAACCCGTGAACAGCATCAACCGACAGAGCAAAAATACAGGCCTTTCCGAAACCTAATGCGATCGTTGTTGATGCCGCCAAACTGTTGAGGTTTAAAGATAGGCAAAAACAAACAGGGATACTGGGAATCGTTTGTAAACCTAGAATAAGCAACCAGACACATGTATTTCGAAAGGTAGGGGGGGCCGCACATCTTTTATCTGTTTCGCCAAAAGCTTCTTTGAGCCTTCCAAGGTTCGCCAAAAATCTAGGCAATGTTTCGAGGGTAAACCAAGGGCAAGGATATATTCAGAAACCGCCGATAGTGTACAAGATCCTCTGACTTGGAGATTCTCAAAATAAAACTCGGACCCCCTTTCGTCTTTGTTTTTTCAGGGAAGCAAAACAAACCCCGCGCCAGTTTAGGAAATGGGCCAATGACTGTCTTACGCATCCTCAAATCTGGCGGTGACAGGGCTCCCTACATTTCCCCTTAAAACATCACCCCCACCAAGAGACACTCACCTTTCATGGGCCAAAAAGGCGATGTCTAAAATCACCAAAAAGGGAAATTTAGGGACCCCTGCCAGGAAAATATGGGTGTCTGTTTTGGAGGCTAACCACTTTCTGTGGTAAACGGAAACCACAAGGAAGACCACCATTTTTGCGCGGGGGTCCCACGAAAGACAGACCATACAGACCCATCTGTTTGTAGAACTTCCGTGGGGTTTTGGACTGGTTTGGGGCTGCCGAGCTGCGGCGGAGCTTCAGGAAGTCCCAAAGCCCCCGGCGGCTGAAGGGATCCATGCCGCTGGTGGGCTCATCGAGGACCACCAGCTTGGGATCTCCTAACCACTCGACGGAAGGAACCCCCAAAAGGCCACAAGGAGACTCCTGGGCTCCGTGTACTTTAGGTTCCGTGTTCGACTTCCCGTTGACCCGCGCAGAAAATTGCGAGCCGGCCATGTGGATCCTAGGCTTACAGGGAAATTGGAGACCTCGGTTTGGATGTGCATAGCAGGTTAACTGCGACAGGGTTCCAAGGGTATATGGGAGGACTGGGCCGCTGCCCGTAAAGCAGGCCTTGGATTTGGACCCGGGCCGTTATGAAGCCCTCGTGTATTCGAGCCATGGTCAAAGGGACCCGCCGAAGCCTGTCATTGTGCCCATGACCGAAACTCATCTTTGCCGAGAAAGACCCCGCCCACGTGTTTTACAAGCAGGGGAGCCATCCTGAATGGATGTGGACCAAAAACCTACCTGGTATGAGCCTGTGCTATTAAAAGCTTGGTTTATTAAACTGCATTGAACATTTCTTCCCTTGTGAGAGTTTAGGACGCCGCCAAGACAAGTTGGCCATCTCACTCACATTTCTGTCTGATAAATCCGCCGCTTCACGCCGGTTCCAGCTTCGGGGAGTCGCGACTCGCGGAGGTGCCCAGCGGCCGGGTCCTGAGAAGGCCAAGCCCACCGAGAGCTTCCGCTTCATGCCCCCCGAGAGCGCTGTGACCTGGAAGTTGGCGCCTGTGGGGTAAGTCACGCCCGACGGCCGTGAGCGCGGTCAGCCACGGGCTCCGTTGGTGGTCTTTTTTGGGTTGCTTAAAGACGGGTGTGTTTTCCAAAATGGCAATTTCTGTCTTTTTAGGGGACCCCCCCCAGTAGTTATTGAAAGCAGCAGGAGAAATCACAAATTTGGAGGGTGCCCTAAGAGACACCCATTTGCCATGTGAGCATTAAGTTTCTTGTGGCCATGGTCTGGGGCAAAAGGACACGTGAGTGGATTGGTTCCCGGATTCCAAACTTGGAACGTGAGTTGAGGAATCTGGTACAGGCGAGTCTTGGAATTAAAAAGGCCTCTTGTCCATTTTTAAGGGGAAACATGACAGTGCCTGGCAAAGGAAAACACAAGGACACTGCTCCAAACATTTCAACTCAATGCCATGGAGCAAATCGTTCTGCTCGTCTTTATTATTGGTTGGCTGAGGGCCGAAAGGAAAGTTCAGAGGCTTTGGGGGCGCACTGACTGAATCAGTCCTATCTGCACCTGACTAAACAGGAGGGCTGATTAAGATTTGTAACTTGCGACCTTTCTAAACCGCACACCACAAGCACCGTGACCAACACATCATTGACACACCAGGTTCAGAGCTGCGGTGCTTCCCAATCGAACAAGATGCCAAGGCGCGCGATTCGAGGCCAATGTCCGCAACCAGCTTAAACACCTCTGCCTCTGCACCTCAGGCGCTTCTCTCACGTCTGCGGAACCTCTGCGAGTCGGCTGCATGGGAACTCTCCGGTTGCGTCAAGCGTGCCCATAGGTAAACAAACAGGGTTCACCTGAGACCGATGCACCCAGCCCGCACGCCAAGTGACTCGCAGGCCGCCCGGCCAGTCGACTAAACAGCGAGATGTGCTCTACCACCGTCAATGCCTTGGCAGACTCCGTTTGGTCTTCCTTTAAGCCAACATGAAACCGGCGCCTTCAAACAATCTCCTGAAGACGAAACTCTTTCACACAGTCACTGCCAGTTCCCAAATCAAAAGGGTTGAGGACCATCCCCAAGTAAAGGTTTGGCCACGGCACCTAAACAACGAAGACTCAGGTTCATCCTTCGCCTCAGCAGAAAATCTCAGAGTTCTCCACTGACCCGGTTCCGCGGCACCCATTTGTCCTTTCTGTTTGGCAGATCCCCCGCACAAACAGTCAAGCCAAACCGCGGTTTCCCTAGGGTACCTGAGCAACTGGGAATCAACCGCATTGCCAGAACCCGCCGGAACATGATTTCTTTGATTGGATACAGCGAGTTCTCATAGTTTGTTCGGGGACCTCCGTGAAAAACTGCGCCGCAGCTGCGCAACAGCACTTGGTTATCTCTGCGTCCATGGCCACAGCGACGCAAGCTGGAGGTGTCCTTTGGATTTTAGCGGGGAAAGCTGATGGCTGGATCACCCATGATTGAAATCCACACCAAGTCTGAATATTCTCGCTGCTTCCCGCTTAACGGCTGCTCTCCGCAACAGAAAAGGCCGAAGCAACGCACGCGAGCTGCCCAGGCGCTGGAAAGAGCACGTCGTGCTGCGGGCAGAAGCCCATAGACTTGCGGATGCTCGCGATGTCCTGCGGCATGGACTGCCCAAAGATGGAGATCCTTCCTAAGGCCGGCGCTTGCGAGATGCAGGGATCAGGGGGCCCAAGGTGTTGCGCAATAGAAACAACGATCTGGTTCTGTTGGCGGCTTTCCAATAAGTTGTAGGGCAAAGGTCAAAAGGGGCGTTGTTTTGCAGGACATGGGCTTTGCCCTCGGGATCCGAATGCGTATCGACACTGAGTGCTCCGTCAAACTGGTTGGGTTCTGGTTGGCCTCAACACAAAAGCGGTTGGCCCAGTTCCTCCAAAAGCCAAAGGCTGGAGGTTAGCCAAGCAGTCAACCAAAGGTCACCGGCCCCAACAAAGGACAGCCAACTATGCTCCAATCCATTTCCTCTCAATCAGACCTTCTGTCAGCTCCCACACTCAAGGTCATCTGAATCTCGCTGAAGCTCCGCTGCTAGCCGTGAGAAGCCCGCAGAGTGCAGACATGGTGGTGGACTTGCCTCAGGCGCAAGTCGCTCCCCCCGGGGCCCACCGCCTGATGGCACTCGCCTGGCCCCCGCCTGCGCCGTTGTGGCCCAACAGCGCGAAGATCTCCCCGGGGAACCTGCGGGGTTCTCGTAGGCTTCCAAGGAGGCTGGACCACTGGAGTTCCGTCCCGCAGGTCTGCTTCCCAAAGAAAACCTTCCGCGTGCATGACTGAAAGGGAAACCTGAGGTGGTGGTGTGGAAATTTTAGCTTCCTCGAAAAGGGAGCCTCTGGTGGGCTCCATGATGCTTCATGATGGTCCCTTCCCCCTTTTATAAAATGGACTCTATTAAAAAAGCAATATTCTCCAGGCAAACGAGTCAGGGTCCCCAATACTACTATTAGAATAACTCAATTCAAAACCCCTACTAAACCCGTGTCTCCGCCGAGACCAGCCCTAGCCATATTAGGGGGCTCCTTGCACCAACCGAATACCAAATTCTAAATGCATACTTACCTTTTACCAATTTATATCTATTTCTTGAATTGCAATTCTAGGCTTACACTGCGCCCTTTACTTTTTGAACCGGAAAACGAGAAACACAACTTGAACGGTGTTTGCGTCAATTCGTTACTCGGAAATTGCGGTTTTGAGGTTTTTCGTGTCCGGGAAGGGGGGGGGGCCATGTCGAAATCCGGTCGAACCCACTGGACCCTATTAATAAATAGGCTTTGTCCCCCAGAGAGTGTTTATTATTAGGAGGGGTCCGCGTCTATCTTGTGGGGGAAGGGATTTGAGGGCAAACGAACGCAAAACAGAAACAGTGGGGACATGGAGCCAGACCCCGGCAAGTTCGTGTGGCGGGCACCAGGATGAGCTCTCATTTCTTGTTGCATGGGCAGGCCGATGTGTGGCATCGATCCAAGCGGAACTTTGTCATGAAACTGGTTGCCATCGCTGTTGTTTGATAGAGCTCTTCATTTAAATCAACTGCCAAGAGGCATGATCAAGTTCACGCCATCCACAGCACGGATCTCCTCGTTGAAGGCCCCTTTGAAGTAAACGCAAAGGTCCTGAGAGAGCTGCCCCCCCAGAAGTTGAGGATTCCCGAGAACTAGTCCCGCCGCACAGCTTGCGCAACAAATGTGGGATAGCGGTCAACTCTGCTTTGGTGGGTGATGAGGAGGCCCCTTTGATGTTCAGTGCCCCTTGTTCCATGTTTGCTGTGGCTGGCGCAGAGTTCTAGCTGCACATACCGTATGACCTGTTCGCCACATTTGTTATGCTAGACGGCGAGGAAGTCTTGACAAGCGCTGAAACTAGCTGTCCAATCCGCACATGTTCCACTTCATCCACCGCACAGGAGGTTGCGCAAAAAGAGGTCAACTCGCAACGTGTCCACAGTAATTATCCACCAGTAAAATGATGCGAACAAGTGCTGGGCATGCCGTCGAACCAAAAGGAGAAACATACCGGTCACAAAATCGGACGCTGCCCCTGACAAAGCGGTTAGCACGTAGCAATATTTTTACGCTAGTGGCTGCCATGGAATACTTGCAGCGCAAGCAAGGGGCTCTTGGGTCCCAAACGACGCCAGGTGCCAGCAGCGAAAACAGCAAATAACAGAGGAAAAAACGCGCCTTTCCTGACGGCGGCAGACTTGCCATCACTCAGTTTTTTGTTTGTGCCTGTCTGGCGCCAGCGCAGGGCCGGTTCTCAAAGGCTTGGCCTTGTGAAGGTGAAGAATGCATTTCTGAGTACAGTTCGCAAGCACGTTGGGAAGCCCAACTCTGCTTAGAATCGCCTCGGAGAGCACTACTGTGAACCCTGTTGTTTGTTGAATCCCCGTACACTAAAGATGTTTAGCTTGATGTTACGACTGTGCGGCTCAGCGGCGTCAACTTTCACGCAGTTCTTGGCCAGGATTTGCGCGATCATTCCTCTGTCCACCTGGGTCGCGCGGCACGGTCCACCCAGCCCTGCGCAAAGAATTCAAGACATGAGCGGGCGCCGACCAGGACTTGAAACATAGACAAGCCAGCTACAAACAGTTCTTAAATCCTAGATGCGCATCCTGGCTCCAAACACCTATCTGGCTATGTCAGATTTCCGGCCAACCCTGCGAGACAAAAATGGACTACGAGTCGGCGATTGCTAGAGTAGAGGGGTCAATCCAATCGATGTGGAAAACCCGCCGCGAGCCCGGTCCAAGCGAACATCGCCAGTGAGTTGCGCCTCTACGCTGCAAAAAACCAAGCACATAACCTCTGAATGCCTCAAGGCGCCGCTTCAATCAAAGAGCTCCGGCCCTCCTCTGCCAAGGCCTCGTCCACCGAGCGCCGGCCTCGACTTGCCCGCCAGTGCCCAGTTCTCTCTTGGGGAACACGCCTTTTCATCCGCCAAGAGCGAAAACCAAGCAGGTCCCCTTGAGCTGACGGGAGACGGCCTGCACGTTTGTGCGCCCTAGCGTTCTGCCACCTCAGCATTTTCATCCCGCGGGAAATTTTGCAACTGAGCACTAAATCTTCCGGTGGTGCAGCGCTCTACCTTGAGAGATCTGTGTAGTAAACGAGCGGGCAACACGGTTTGCAGCTTTACCAGCCCCATTCTGCCTTGCCATCATAAAAGCTGAGGAAGCTCACAAACATCTGCGCTTTCACTCTTGCCCGCCCCCAAGACCCATTCATCTGCAAGGTTTCACTTTTGTGAATACCAAAACCTTGGCCAAAGCATTGTTTCCAGCAAAGGGCCCTGCCTCAACGGGGCCCGGAACAAGGCCACTGTGTCAAGCTCATCAAGAACCTGGATCAGCACATAGCATTGGGTCGAAGCCCAAGGCTCACACTGTCAGAAACCATGCACCTCGAGTTAACTCGCCATGCCAAGACACCTATGCAAAGATCACCAAGTTCCCTATAGCCAAGCAAAAGCAAATTACACACTGGCGAGCACAAACAGTGCGGACATGCCCCATGAATAGTAACCTCCAGCCAAGAGCGGAACACATCCCACCAAAGAAGGGCGCACTTGGGGACCAACGACGGCTTTATTCGAGGGGGCACCCTGGAATCAAGGTGTGTTTCAAGTTTCGTCCCGCAGCCTGCTCCAGCTCGAGTCTTGGAAACCTTTGCTCATGCGAAGCTTCTGGGTTGCGAGCTTAATCCAAGAAACCGAAATCGCAACAACTTCCAAACTCACATTTAAGTATGTTGTCGGTTGGCAAGAGCGACCAGGGGGAAGAGCACTTGACGGCCCAAATGCACTTTAATATTGAAAGGGGTCCGAGACAAAGTGCTTTCAGTAGCAATAGTGGTGACAGTAGAAATACTAGTTGTAGTAGTAGCGGCGGTAGTAGTAGCAGTAGAAGAAGTAGTAGTTGTAGTAGTAGTAGTAGTAGTAGTAGTAGTAGTAGTAGTAGTAGTAGTAGTAGTAGTAATGGTTGTAGCAGTAGCAGTAGCAGTAGCGGAAGCAGTGGTAGTATGTAGTAGTGGTAGCAGTAGCAGTAGTAGTAGTAGTAGTAGTGGTAGTAGTAGCGGTAGTAGTCGTAGTACTACTAGTAGTAGCAGTAGCAGTAGCAGTAGCAGTAGCAGTAGCAGTAGCAGTAGCAGTAGCAGTAGCAGTAGTAGTAGCAGTAGTAATAGTAGTCGTGGTTGTCTGCTGCCTACTGCTGCTCACACCCTCTTGGACGAATTCTGTCAGCGGGAAGTGCCTAGAAACATGAAATCAACGGAAGCTCACATGTTTTCACGACAAGGAGCTCCTGGAATATCAAATCAAGCACAAATCCTACCTCGGACATAAAAACTGCAAAACAAAACGAATCAAATGGAACCCAACAATGCATTAAAGCGCAAAAACACTCACACTCTGTCGCAACAAGAAGCTTCCAACACTACCACCAAACCAAAGCGAAACTCAAAACTCAGCATTCCACACAACACGGAGGTTCTAAACACTGCCTCAACAAGAGGCGCCGTCAACACTGAATTAAATGGAATTTCGAACCTGGCCCCAGCAATATCTACGCAATGCCTGAATGAATTTCGCAGGTTGAATCATGGATGCTTGATTTGGGCAAAGAGTGGGGTGCAAGCGATTCATCAAAGAGCAACATTGAGATGCTAACAACCTTTTTTGGAAGCGCTTCTTGTCCCTAGGAAAAATCCAGCACTTTGGCCCAATTCGCTGTCAGCCGTTGGGCCCAATTCGCTGTCAGCCGTTGCGCGGTCCTAGGTTGAAACCCGAGGCGCTTGAATGCCTCCACACCCAGGCGACACGCGGCGCGCAGGGACTCGCCAAAGTGCGCGGGTGGTCTGGGAGTTTGCCAAGCGATTGCTACCCCCCGCCGCGTAGCTGTGCCGCTTGGGCGTAACAGGCGCCGCTGCCCGTGCTGCGTCCAAACGCGTCAGGCAGGTGGCCTTGGGCACGAGCTTAACGTGAGATACGAGAGTCACTGAGGCACCAGCGCCCCGGCTCCTCCGCAGGCGCCTCCTGAGCTTCGCGGCGGCGTTTGTTGTCGCGCATGTAGCGGCTTCCCTTCGCACGACCTGAAATTGGTGGCATTTAGACTCCTAACCGACGAAGAAATGTTTGAAGGCAAGTTTGGGCGTTTGCCAAGAGGGCTCCCCGCAAGCGGATTGGTTATTGTTTGGCGATCCAGGCGCAAGATTGGCGTCAAACATTTGATTGGATTGGTTTCGGCAACGTATCATTCTATTCGGATCCAAACCCTGTCCGCCCTTTTCGAGTACTTTGCCCTTCCAACGAGGAATGCCTCGCGATTTCCCTTCGAGGTGCCAGGTCCTGGTCTGCCTCTGTGCCTCAGAGGGCGTCAGCTTCCGACGAAGAACTTCATCTGAAAGTGGCTTCTTCCGAATGCTGAAGAGGGAATCTACTTCTTGCGGGCATGTGGATCGAACAGGAATGTGGCAATCTTGTGAATGAGAAAAACCGTTTGTTTCTTGGCCGTTCCCTTGAACAGGATGCCCTCGTCCCAGTTCATCAACCTGTTTTTGCCCAGTGTAGCCCGACGAATGAGCGCGTCAAACAGGTCAACCGTAAATTCGGGGTTTGTCAGGCATGCTTCTTTCTCCTTGCCTTCCCGCACGTTCAGGAAAGAGCTTGCCATAAACGGAATTCCAGGGTCGAACCCGCTCCCCTCTCCCACGGCTGCAACCGCAACCCACTTCCGCACCGAGCACCGGACCCTGATTCAGTAGCCAGGGATCGCTGGCCTGGCCCCAGGAATGAACCCCAGTCCATTGATCCCAAGACCCCCAAAAACCAACATGTGAGACCAATTAAAGGATCAAAGGGAACCAACGTTGCCTCGTGGATCAAAGGTTTCTCGGATGTTGATAGAAATGTACAAAAATACGTGTCTGTCTTATTTTGTGGTACCCCTTCTTTTTAGGGACTTTTATCCGGAAACCAAAAGGAACACCCCCCATTTTGGGGGGCCTCAAAAAGGCACGCCGTATGGACCCCCGGCATGATCCCCAAGCTTCTTGCGTACATGGCGCAATCTAGGAAAAACATTCACGATTCGAAATCACACCTGGACATATAACCGGCCCCGCACTTTCACAATGCATCAGAAGCACCTAGGATTCATAAGCTCCTAGTCGATGAGGGAGTTCCACTGAGGATATCCTTCACCTGTTGATCGATAGTCTCGGTAAAGCAAGCTGACTTTCGTTGGAAAGCGCGCCTTATCAATCCAGCGGCCGTGTTAATCCGGGCACGTCAATGGCGAACAAGACACCCTCAGAGTCCAACGGCCTTTCGAAGATAGGCCTCTGACAAGAGGCCTCAAAAAGGTCAAAAGGCCTTGAGCATCATGCCGAGTGTATGTGCTGAGTAACCCAGGCCCTTTTTGAGGCCTCCCAGGCCCTTTTTGCCAAAAAGCCACCGTTTCGTCTAGTAACACCAGCCAAAATTCGCATGAAGCTAAAACTATACTTTTATATGCGTGCACCCTACCTATGCAACAAGCTCGTTTGGGTTGATCACGTGTCTGTTTCCCTTTCGCTATCGCTGCATCTTCAGAGAGCGTCTAAACCAGCGCGAGTTGGCAAAGCGAGCATTGATCAAGCTCCACCAAACGTCCGTGCAGGCAACAAATCCACTGATTTTAAATTCGGACGGGCCCCCAAACAAACCACGTCCCGGATCGTGTCAATTCAGGGTACCCCCGCATATACCCCTGTCCACGGACAAACCATGACTTTTCGGGGCCGTTCCACGGCTTTTCGAGGCCTTTCCACGGTCCACGGGCTGTCCACGCTCCATGCGGTACCCAGCCACAAAAGCGTTTGTGTTGAACAAATCGACACATGCGTTGCCCCTGCATCAACACCTCCTAGCCAGGCCCTACGATTTCCTGTGGCTGGATCCCCTCTAGCACCCTTCAAGAAAAAAGGTGGCCCCAAAGATAGTCAAGATTGCCACACATACTTTTCAAGGCCTAGGCCTTGCAAAAGAACATACTATTTAAGGCTGAAGGCCTCACTTAGTGCCTAAGGCCTTACTTAGCCTGATTTGGTTGTCTGGAGTAGGCCTAGTGTCCTCATTGGGTTCCGCGGCCACCAAAGTTCCCAAACCAATTGACCAATCTGAGACCTAGATACGGGTTGCCTGACTTAGGGTCAAAACACCGAAAAACCAATCCAACATTGGCAACTTAACCGTGCGCGTTAATTTGAGAAGCCCGTCTTGAATGGGCTGAAGCGAACCAAACATTCGCAAGGTGTTCTGAGTTGGGCTCGAGCAGGTTTCCCTTGGAGGCAAGGTCTGCGAAAAGCCAAAGGCGGAAGCCCCACATGTACGGGAACTCAAGACCTGAAGGGATTTCAAAATCATAAATGTTCAGGGGGGTGTCGTTTTGGGATTAGATGCCTTCTTGGATTCTTTGTTCATTTGTAGAGAGAATGCTCCAAACATCTCTGAACAATCGGGTGCAGAAGCCACGGATCCCTACAAAGGCTCGCGGATGAGTCTGAAGAAGCCAAACCAACGCACAAGTGTGATACATAAGCAGCGGCCATTTGGCACCCAAGGCCAAACTGCCAAGAAAATGCCCACCAACCAACCAACCAACCAACCAACCAACCAACCAACCAACCAACCAACCAACCAACCAACTCGACTTGGGCAACTGAACAGTTGATTTCTGGAGTGGCCAAGCGAAGTCCAAGGTTTGAGACAAACCTGGCACGGCCAATCAAATCTGTTGCTGAACGCCGGCGACATGACGCCTCAGAATTTGTGACATCCCGCCGCGCAATGCCGTCGTCGCCTGAGGGCTTGGCTGGGACTCGTTCCCTCGGGGTTGACGTAGAACCTCCTTTGGGCCCCTTGGGATCAATTGATGGATGCATTGACTCGCTAAGTTGGCTGGCCAAGAATCTCGCGTTGCGCTTTCTTAAGATTTCTGCAAGCCCCGGCTTCATTACTTGCAACTGCTGGCTTTGGTCGGTCTGTTTCCTGGGGCCCATCTCTGTCCATTCAAAAGCAATTAAAGTTTTAAACCCGGGCGGGGCCTTTCACTGAATAAGCATCCCCTACATGGGCAATGGTCTGGTTTAGGATTCAACTGACCACAACTGACCTGGGCAAACGCAAATTGACTGGATCTAGTTTCTCAAGGCAAGGCCAAAGCCGATACCGACCCCCGAGGAACCATCATGTGGCCCGGAATCGCTCGTATGGATTTGGTTCCTGATAAGGACTTGCGATAGGCCAACGGTAAGTTTCTGGTCGAGCCCCGTTTGACGTATTCCAGGAATCTCCAGCAAATCGCCAAATCGATCGTCTCGCATCCGAGAGGATCGCGGCTGAACCCCGCGAACTTTGGGCCACACCTCGCCAGTAGCCCGAAGTGCACGGGAACCAGGGCTTGAGCACGGTGCCGCCGTGCGGAATGACCTCTAGGTCCAAAACGCCCTCTCGCACCGAGATGCTTTCTTTTTGGGACAAGAAGGCAGGCCTTCTTTTTTGTTGGGGGGGGGTGGGCCTCTTTCTGGAAAACAAAGAGGGGCCCATGATTCTCCTGAGGCTTTTTCGCGGAGAAGAGAAGCTTCGCTGGAGCGCTTTGGCTTTTTCAGGAAAATGGAAACACGGACTCTTGTTATGACAGGGGTCTGCAAAACACCGCTGGCTGTTCTGAAAACAGAGCGTGGCTGGTGCTTGGGAAAACTCGGCAAGTGGTGCTGCTTGGGGAACCTTGGCAATGGGCAAAGCCGGAAAGTCTGCGCAGGGCAAAACATCATCCGGCGGGTGCTGAGGTACAAAGCTACTGAAACATGAGGTCGCAAAGCCCTCGTAGAGCTCGCTATAATTTGCCCAAAGCCATAGGGATGGTTGATTCCCTAAATGCCGCAAGGAAGGAGCAAGTGGGAATCATAATGAGTTTTACCATAGATCATGGTTGGGCTACTCGCGCTTGGTATACATGGTAAATTGCAATCGGCCATCTCCCCCGTTCCCTTGCCACATGTGGGGAATCGGGAATGGTGATCCATCCAAACCCGTCAAGTCATCAAGCCCACGCTCAAAGACGCGGGCCCCATGCTTTGCGCAAGGAGGAATCTTAGGGGACTTGGTCGTCTGGCAAACCTGGGGAGTTGCAGCCAAGGCACCTGGTCCAAGTAAAGCCATAGCAGGCCCCAAACGATGGCGTCCAAAAGCAGCCAGGAAAGTGTCCCCAGCAGAGTGTAGCTGTCGCTCTCGGACTGAGCAGAGCAAGGCCCCACCATAGACTTCAGACGTAGTTTCAGGAAAGCTGAGTGGACTGGGCTTGCAGGCTTGCAGTCTTTGTGCGTAGCACGTCATGAAACAGAACATCACGATGCATATGATGTTCGAAGTGGCCAACGTCTTTCCCTTCAATGAGCCAAGCTGCATAATCCGCCTCCCAGCCGTGAATTTCCCTCGTGACGAAAACGCCGAGGGCCTCGCCAGGAAAACCAATGGCCGGAGCAGAAGCGTTGCCCCTGCAAGGCTTCCAACAAAAAACACAGGGCCCTCCCTCCGTAAGAGGAAGTTGAGCACATGCCATGTAACCGTTGAATGAATGACACACAGTCAAAGGCAGTTGTACACTGGGGGTAGATTGAAATTTGGGAGTAGCCGCAACTGCCAACATCGCCGCGCCCAGTTGCATCTTGGAACCTACCGCAATGGATGACAACGCAATGTCAAAATCTGGCTTTTGATTCCCCCCCCCCACGCGGCCCCTCCTGGGCGGGCAATGAAAGGGGCCCTCATTGCGAAACTCAAGGCATGCAGCTGCCACGTGTCGCCAAACGTTCAATGGCTTCATACGCCTGTGTTGTGATTTCGACGAGTACTCCACAAATACAAGTAGCAGCACGAACTCCAACAGCCAACAAACACATCTTATACTTGACACGTGAAGCTTTGATTAATGCGAAAACATGATCCTCAGCACACTCTGTAGCTTCCAGCAGCCCTGAGTTGCGTGACTATTGCAATTGCAAAGGGCCGACTGCAGGGGGTTCGCACAAGTTGTCTGACCAGGGCATTTGATGATGCTCATAAAACAGCGCTCCGACTCATGAGCCAAGAACGATCACTTCCCTCTTGCCTTGCTGTAGGCGACCTGTGGAATGAACATGAACAGCCAATCATTGGGCATCTTTGGAAGGAACGTCAGGCTGCAGGTGCAGGTATAGACCACCTGCGAGCAGGCTCCACTCAAACACCCTCTACCATCCTCTGGCCAAGAAGCGCCAGAACCGTAATATCCTCCAATGATATGTTTCGGACCTTTGTGAAAGAGGAATCCAACATGGGCATTGTTGAGCCTTGCAAATGCAACTGAGTCAGGCACAACCCGATACCCACCAAAAGGCAAAAGGGGTGTTACTGATGCCACTGGACACCTGGGCTGCGGCTGACAGCTCCCGCACCAGCATCCCGCAGCCAGGCAACCAGTACAAAGCATTAGAGGGTTCTACCTGCACCCCACTTATTGTCCTTTAAATCCCCGTCTGATTGACATGGAACCCAAAAAGCTGTCATGTGTGGAAGCCCACACTGGGGGATCCTTTGGGCCCGTGTCAGATTGCCAGGGAGCCACCCTGCCAGAATTACAGGGTACAACTGGTCTGGAGTCAACTCAGCTGGACGCCGGCGACACCCTGAACTCCAGAGGGCTTTCCAGTTCCATAGCTAATCTGCCGTACATGTTTAAGTGTATATAGATGCATTACATTACATTGCAAACTGTGTTTTTAACGGTTTGCCTCTGGTCCCCAGTTTTCCCGCTGCCAGCAAGTGGTTATGTACCTGATGAACCCGCGAACCCGGAAAGATGCTTGCCAGGTTGAGGTTGGGTCGATGCACTGTGGTTAGCACTCCTCCAACCCGTGGCAAGAAACAACAGTTTCAACATTCACTTGTAGCAACGCCCATCCCAAAACCAAGCAACATAACAGGACCGTGGTTGAAAGGACTCTGATAGGACTGGCCTGTTCCATTTGCACAGCTTCGCTGTAAGTAGCAACCCCTTGCCCAAGAAAAACAAACCAAAATCCGAGAGGCCATGGTAAGGAGCTGGCTCATCAAAGCTGTCCCCAGGAAGGTGGACATGACGAAGCCCAAAAGCGCCAAGTCCAGGAAGAAAAGGAAGCACTGAGCTCTCACCAATTGAGCATGGACCCCCCCTGTTTAGCCCCTTCCCCCCAAAAAACCGTGCATTTTCAGAGTCGCCTCGTCTTGTCAACCACCTTTTGGGGGGTCCATGAGACAAATGGGAAGCAAGTGCTGAGCCAACTCGCAAAGGGCTCGCCATGCACATCCCTAAGTCCTCGACAGCCCCCAAGAGAGTCAGTCATGCCCCAAATCCCAAGAAACCAAAACAAGTTCAAGGTGATCATTTTTTCAAACATGGTCCCATCTAACAAAAAGTCGTCAGAACTCGTGTCCTTTCGCTTGCTAAGAACCGTGTTTCTTGACACCCACCAAGACCAGCGCGCGCCACGGCGGCCAACTCTTCTGTTTTCTGGGTATCCTTGGGGAGGCCATCGAACCCGCAAACCGTTGGTACCGCGATACTCTCATGGGAGAAGCTCTGAAGTTGTGTAAGAAATTGAAAAATACATCACTGTTAAATTTGCAAACCTTCAGAAGCATTTCCAAAGCGGTGGAATCAGTGGCAACACGCTGAAAAGTTTGGTAGCACCCTGAAACAAAAGGTAAACACATGAGAATCAACTGCAAAACCATGTTACGCAACATTATTCATTGGCAGAGTTCTAACATTATACCGAAATCACGAACGAAACTGTGAAACTGTGTCAGGCACTTTCAGGCAGCAATTTTACAAGAGCGCTTTTAGTGTTTGCACGCAAGGTGTTTGGCCCAAGGCCCCTAGTCTCCCTAGCACATTTGACAAAAACTTCATGCACATGACCTTTATGTAGGTATATCAATGCGTTGGGGAGTGGCATCTCTTGACAAGCAGCTGCCATCAAGAAGGCTGGCATGGCGGCGTAGTTCGAAATCACGCCCAAGCTATACCACAAAAAGGTGTTCATGATGGAATACCTTAGCATGTGCAAGCTTCCAGGGTATCCACCTCCCCGCTTCAGAACATGCCAAATAGTACTCACTCAGCCCAACGAAATCCAGGAACGCAAAAAAGTGATGTCAAAAATGGTGCTTGCAATCCCACAGTTCCAGAAACATCACCAAACATGGTATGTGACTGTGATGCGGCATGCAGCTAGACTGTGGACTGTTCCGGCGTCCTTGCTTTGCGGAAGGCCCCCCCCCACCTCTGCTGTTCCTTCAAGCTTTAGGGGGGTCAGGCGCCAGTAACGAATGTCACTGAGCGCTCGTGGAATCTGTGCTTGGACATGGAAAGGCTGTGAAAAGGAGGCCCAAGTTAAGCAAGCACACCATTTATACAAACCAGGGCGGTTTGTACGGTTGCTTGGGGGAAGTGAGGGGTTCTGAGGGTGGAACCCACTGTCACAGCGCAGCCTGCGCCGCGAAAGTGGCTAAATTCCAAAACTTGAAGGTGGGCAGGGCAGCGAACACAGCCTCACGGCTGTGTCTGCTTGCTGCCGACCTTCATTGGATTAAGGGTATTTTCGTACCCCTTGTGGAAATACGAGTTGAAAGAGAAATTGTGGACTCGTGGCCAAGCCAAAGTCCGGGTATCTAGTAAGCGCCAACCAGCCCAGGTGCCCTGGGGTGGGAAAGAATTCCAGGCGCCAGTGGAGCGACTGAAGAAGGTAAGGTTCCACTACCTCCGGCGACAGTGGTTGCACCAACCGGCCGAGGAGGGGCTATCAGCCCGGCTCTTGTCAAGCAAGTGGATATCCTGCATGTGGAGGGCCAGCAGGTCCGGCAGCAGAATCCAGGGTGGTGTGAAGTCCTCCACCGCGTCGCGCGTCAAAGCCGGTGAAGTCCAAGTGGGTGAGCTGGTAGTGACCCTGGGGCATTGATCAAGACATCTCAGCAAAAGAGGCAAACCTCAGGTCGTGCATCCTCCAACTTCACCCTGGATGGCTCTGAAGCTTGGACGACTTGGATCCGCTGTCTCATGTCCCCCAAACTCTTGGGGTCACATTCACTCCATCGCCCGGCTGAACTTGGTGAGCATTGTCTTGGGGAGGCATCTGCCGTCTCGCTGTCGAAGAGCTTGGTGAGGAAATGGTCCGGGTCCATCTGCACAGCCCCTTCCTTTGCATCACGCGCCTGCAGCACACACACATGTCCGTGTCCTGCGGATCTTGTTCAGTCAAGGTGGGGATCCTGCAAAGGACTGGGATCTGGGCCGGCATCTTAAGCGACTTCCTCCGCGAAATCAAGTCCATCAGGGCGGCATCCGGATCAGCCCTCACCATCACGTCCGCCCCGTCCCAGTTTGAGCGGATCAGCACCCGCTCCTCCTTCCTGAGGGCGTACCACTTGTGAGCAACCTCCACCGAAAGCGGCAAAACCGTCAAGGTGTTGATGGGGTCCTCCTCCAGGCCATACCAGCGGGCAACCGCCGGCCACCAGGCGTGGTTCTGCGAGAAGAGGTTTCAGCGTCACCGTCCAGGTCAAGGTTGTCCTCCAGCTCTTTGTCTGTGGGGACAGCTTTCCTGGATCCAGGCCACCAATTCTGTGGTGGTGGGCCCGCAGAACTCCTCCGTGTCCACGAAGTGCCACTTGTCCGCCCCGGAAAGGTTCTCGGATGGAGTTTCCTCGCAACTTGGCAGAATCCAGGATTCCCCCAAAACGCATACAGCGCTTGACGCAGCCCTCCTCGGTCTTCACCTGCTGCTCTTCCAAGCTCAGTGTTTCGGGGGGGATACAGCGCTTGGAGCAGCCGTCCCCGGCCCCGGGGTCACCGGCTCCAGCGCCGTAGGCTTCCCATCCACTTCCATGGCCATAGACATGCTGCTCGGGAAGAATTAAACTAAGAAGATCCGTGATGGACACCAGGGGTCAAGTCAAGGATTTGGGCCCCGAGGCAATCACTCAACCGAGAAACCGAGACCACCAGAGTGTGCGTGGAGCTAACAGCACTTGGCCCTATGACATCCCAGATTTCCCAAAACAAGTTTGGACAACATAAGAAGAGCCACCGACAGTTTGCCTCCCTCGCCGAACGGAAGGCCAATCAAAGGAAGAAACCCAAAGGGGAGCGTTTCCCAAGGACATGCCTCAGTTGGATTTCTGGTCAGGGGAGCGAACTAGAAGTTTAGGAAGCGCCTCAGATGAGCTGGATACATGGCACGGGTGAGATTCGATCTCGGAATGCCCTGTTCCCTGGCGGGCACAAAGCCAAAGATTCCACGCCATTCATCACTTCAGGGGTCAGAAGACAAATTCAGCAGCTCTCCTGGGCATTCAGCCAAGCGACGCTGCCGATTGACAACATCCATAGACAACCCAGTGCCCGTAGTAAGCCAAGGGGCCTTAGCTCACAGCGAAAACTTCAATCGTTCAGCCATCACTCGGCCGGTCCCTTGCACAAAGAACTTCTGAAGGACAACTCCACAGCTGAAACCACGTCTGATTCTGAAAAAGGGAACCCTCAAAATACGGGTGGCTTCCCTGTTGCCCAACCTTTGAACCACCGCCCCCCACCCCTACACATACCCAAGCAGGGTAAGTCTCAAGCCGTCACTGAGCAGCCGCTCTTTGATCGAGTGGGGCCAACTCCAGGCCCGCTTTGCAGCGATACACTATCCACATTTTTTCCAACCAACCCATTCCGGCGCCAGGCGCCGGAATCGGCGATGAAAACAATTTTGGCGACTTGTTTCCAGTAAAACCTGAGAACCAATTATATTCCGATTGCAACCAACACCTGAGAACCTGAGATGTGCAGCTTGTTCCGATTAAATTCGGTAAGCCTGACAATGTGATAAGTCAGTTTACAGGAGATCAGCGGCCCACGCCAGATGCAGCTCAGGCACTGCAGCCTACCATTCGAAGGCCCTCCTGCGCCAGGTGACCCAGAAAGAAACACATCCGCAGATTTTGATATGGAACTGTCAAAGGGGCCTCGCAATTGAAACGATCCTGAAAAGGGTTTTGTGGATTCCATGTTCATCTGCATGGTGTGGCTCACCCGTCTAATCTGAGATATCAACCCCCACAACTGGGGGGACACCCGCGCCTGTACATTCTGGGGGGTCCAAAATGGAGATTTGCCGGGGTCCATCCAACATAATTTGTACATGTCCGTTGGGGTCATCATGTTGCACACAGACATGTTGGGGTGGGGCATCCGTAATTTTGGGGGTTTGCTGTGGGGCCCTGTCTGACATCATGTTTGTTTCTGTGGCAAAAACCGCTTTTTCACGAAACCCACTTTTTCCAACTATTCAGCATTGGGGAAGCCCTGTGGGATCTGTTCTATACCATTGCTAAATTCATCCTGTGTCAACCTTACCTTATCGTACCTTCATTGACGCTGGACCCCGGAAGCGCTCCTTGCGCTTCTCATCCCGCTCAGCCACCAGCCTTGCCTCAATCAATCAATCAATCAATCAATCAATCAATCAATCAGTCAGTCAGTCAGTCAGTCAATCAATCAATCAATCAATCAATCAATCAATCAATCAATCAATCAGTGGAAATCAAAGCTTGCAGTTCGTCATTTGCACCATGTCCCTTTTGGCTGAAACGAATGAAAGGGACGACTACACCAATAAAGGGGTCCAACCAACAAACTAAAAATGAAAAAAGCGACACCAACGGCCATCCAGCTTCTTTTTGATCTGATCCAATGGGTCGCGGATATGTGGGTTGGCCACGGCTATCCATGACTAAGCTTCTCTCCTTCCTTCTGGCGCGAGAGAAACACAGACGTCTAAAGTCATGATTCTTATTCCATTAAGCTATGGCTATACTTGCGTGTCAAACCATGACCGAGTAGCGTGGATGCTTCAAAACCAGAAAGCCCACAAGCACCTTCATCTGCCATGTCAGGTATCTGTAATTTCCCCTTCCAATATGCAAAGCTCTGCAAGATAGATAGGTAGATGGATTGATAGATAGACACCGATATATACTATGATATTCTTATTTTGTCACTGATGCTGCTAGTGTACATCATGTACACATACAAAATTGCATGTTCAGCCTGCTTAAAAGCCTCTTGGCCCAACTGCTGGTTTGCTCAAAACTGGGACCAAACAGTCGATTCGATTCGATTCGATTCGCTTTGAACAAAGGTTCCACATGGCCCAGGACGTTCATCATGAAGATGAAGGACACTAAAGCCTCAGACAACACACAACGATCGGCTACGGGGGCAAGGGGAATGCTTCCAGCAGCACACTTGTGACAGCTTTTTCGCGTGTGCAAAGCTCCAAGTGCTGTCCAGAAGGAATTATCATAAAGGGACTGAATCTGGTGTTGAATGTCAAGCAAACAGTTCTATACTAAACATCAGCAATATCCAACGACTTGCCCTAGCCCCCCAAGACAGGCTGCGTTTTTGGACCAATGGTCAACAAACGGGAGTTCAAACCAGGCTACCAGTTTTCAAAGCCCCACCGAACAACCCAAGGTCTAAACCACGTGAAAAGGGGTGGGGTGGCACCCTGGAAGGGGGGATGGTTTCAGCATGAGCCACTCCACAGAGCTCACCCAGACCTGGCAGGGGCAAAGGGGAGACGGCAAGGCGGCCTCTTTTCCAAGGGTGGGGCAATTTTCACCCAGTCGGCCGAACCAAGCCCGCTTCCTTTGCAAAATAACTCGAGTCTCGAATCAAAGGGAGCTCCAAGAAAGGCCCTGAAAAATGCAAAGGGGCTAGAAGCTCCTCGTTACCCGAGGCCCATTTTGTGAAACACTTTCCAGCTGAATCGTCTGAGACGCGCCAGCCACGTTGCCCACTCCATCGCCTGGCAATCAGCTCTGAAGCCACAGGAAGTCACAACCCTTTAACAAGGAGTCTGACAGGGGGTCCCTTAAGGAAACTGAACTTCCAGTGTCAGGTTCCATGAACAATCTTGTGGCTCGGAGCAACCACGAAAAGGACTTTGCAACGCTATAAGGGGTTCGCATGAGATTGGTGCTTCACCTAAATGGCTCAGTTCCTAAGGATCCAGCAAGCGGCGTGCGCTTTGTGCGGGTTCCCGTTGTGATTTGCTCAGAGCAAGTTAACAGTTTCTGAGCAACTAGTTCCCCATCACAGCCAAAGGATTACGCCCACAATGGCAACACCCCTTCAAGGGTTGCCATATCATCTGGAGGAAAGCATTGGCTGGAAGGCGGCTGAGTCCCGTCCGTTTCCCTGGATGCATTCAAGCAGCCCCTTCCCGACTGGCGCGAAAACCACATGTGGGAGGACGCATGCAGGCGCCCCTAAGATGGGAAGTGAGCAAAAACAAGTTGACACTGGAACAATCTCAACACTCTAAAACTATGTCGAAAAACGCTGCCAACCCCCCAAAGGAGCCACAAAACCTGTACCTCACATAATCATAGACTGCGGACAGGTCCTTACACAAGACGTGGTCTATGCAAAGGCGCCTTGCGTCAAACAAATAAAACACACTAATTACCAAGGGCAAATAAGGTGTAATACCTTTGCATAGGTGCCCTCTGTCCTTGGCAAGGTTCCTATTGTCTTGGCAAAGGATGATTCAGCAGATGGGCACCCTGCGGCAAAGTAGAAATAAAACCGCTTCGGCCTACCCGCAGCCCTTTCCCACACCCTGCCCTCAAGCTCGGCCGGTCCTAGGCTGATCACGGACCGCTGCTTGATGATTTCCCGCTCTGGAAATGGCATCGCCACAAAGCTCGCGTGAGGAGCCGTTCCTGGCCGACATCCGCTCTACCGATCGGATCTGCGAGATCAACCCGGCTGACAGGCCGGTTCTGGACGGCGCTTTCATGGACCAGGCCCTTCCGGATTGAACAGAAGGGCTGCAAATTGCTGACAGGGGCCCTGCAAAGGTGGCATAAGATGACATCAGTCAGTTCAGGTGACTCCAACCTTTTGACCCCCATGTGTTGGATACATGTAGGGTCGTTGCAGATGTGAGGGACGCCACTGACTGAAAAACGAGCTTGCCAAAAACAACTCAACCTAGCAACCGGGTTAACAGTTGACGGCCTCGCCAGCCTCCAGCATACCAACGGCCCATCCTATTTAGGTCTTGCTATCTGTCTGGAAATGCACGATTGCCTGGGAGCAGACACATTAAACCGCCTTAAATAGGCTGCGAAGGGCTTGCAAGCATGGCATGAGCAATCGCACCAGGGATCGAAACGCACGCAAAACTCCCCAAGGTGCGAGGTTACAGCTCGAGTGGAAATAGTTCAGATACAAAAATCAAGTAAATCGAGCGCGCAATCCTGAGGAACAACAGCGATTCAGTGGGGCCAACAAGAACCTGCCATCGCAAGCAATAGAAAGTTGCATCCGTTGCACACGGTAGGTTGCAAATGCCGGGCGCCGCTGCTTCATAAGTTGCCTCTAGGGTGCGCTCGCCCGACGCACGCACGCACGCACACCCACACCCACACCCACACCCACACCCACACCTACCCACACCCACACCCACACCCACACCCACACCCACACCCACACGCACACGCACACGCACGCGCACGCGCACGTGCAGGCGCACGCACGCACGCACGCACGCACGCTCAGGTTCACGGATCTGAAGTAATCAACATGTGTTCGATGCGACGCAGACCTCAATGCAGAGACGCGCTACCGGCAGCACCTACATTCTACGTGCTGAGGACCCCTTCCGGGCTTTCCTGATGAATTGACAAAGAACAGGGAAAGCGGAAAGTGAAGCAGCGGAGGTCCTGAGAAGGGGTAGCCCATCTTGGGATCCACTTGCTTGCTGCGTGTGGCAAAGTCCCCCACGAGGATCTGCAAGCTGATAGTGACCCCGGCCCGCTTGTACTTCCTTGCGGGCTGACCCACGCTCCAACCCACAGGAAGACAAGAGGGCTGTCCTCAAAAACAAAAGTAGGGAGCCCCGGCACACTCACAAACCGTCCCGCGGGGGAATTCATGGCGAACTCCTCCAGTCCCGTAGCTTAAAGTTCACCCTGGTGCGGGAGCCAGTTTCCCTACCGGGGAGGTGGCTGTTGCTGCCTGGGGAAAAGACAAAATGCTTCTCTTGCACAAAAACATCTTCGAGCGGGTGGCAAGACGACTTGCTTGCAAAACACCCAAAACACCTGCTGACCTCCAACTAAAACTTGTATAGGAAAGACCAAAACTGGCACAGCGACACATCATGCCGGCACAGTGAGCAAGCAGCACAACTATCAATAAGCAGCTTGTTTTAACACCCTGGTATCTTGGAAGTGGCGCTCTATTTTGCTGCCTGCAGGCTTCCAAGCTGCGAAGCGGCAGGTCTCAAAAATCCCTCGAACACACACCCGGCATGGAACGACTTGAACATGCCTGCAAAGCAATGCAACACATTACAAAACCCCTCCGAGTCAATGCAGTCACCCTACTGTCAACAACGCCCGCAATACTCTTAAAAAAAAAAAAACAGCATCTGGGCAACATGTTGACTAATGGTGTCCAGTTGCACTGGGGGGCATGCTTGCAAAGGCCTTCCAGAGCAACATGGTCAAGATTGAAATGCGCAAATCGATGCGCCCCAAACGGCAGAATTCGGCAGGCGGCCCGAAGCACCAAAAGGAAGGGTTGCTCGAGGGCACATCACTGCCAGCCAGTGGCTGAAGAAACCGGTTCTGTTCGCCGGACAAACCCGAAAAGCAAGGATTCGAATTGGCGCTTTCTCCTGGAGAGGAATTATGCGATAAGGCCTGCTAGGAAGGAGCCCACAGCTTTCCCACGAGCCTAGCGGCCAACGGCTTAGTTCAGCGCCAGGCACATACAGGCTGTCACCGTGGCCTCGGGTTCTGAGGACCCCTTCAAATCAGAAACGCTGCCCGACATGTGCGCTCCCCTAAATTTCAAATGCCCCGACGCCGGTAGGCTTCCCTGGCGGGCATGAAGTAATTGCTGGTATGAGCCGCTGGGTATGTTCTATTGGGCCGGGCCTGTGTTTCTTGACTTCTACAGAATGATTAACATTCAACCTCGCCATGGTCCCAAAGGCTGCTCCCGTGAACTAGCCTAGGGGCGAAACATGTCCTGGCACTCCTGCGAGTTGGTCTTGCTGCATCTCTTTCTCAACATTCCTGCGTCCTGCCGGCGCGCCGCACACAGTAGCACGCGGCAAGACACACACACACAACCATGCCCACATACACGTGAACAGTAACGAACACTCGCGCGCACTCACGCACGCGTGCGCTCAAAACCATAGGAGGGTAAAGTTGGCGAGTTCGGCTCGGTAGATTGAGGTCCAAACATGTGTTCGGCAAAGTTCAAGGCGCCTGAATACCCAACCATGAGACACACCCCGCAAAACACGAGCACACACACAAACACAAACACAAACAGAAGCACAAACACAAGCACACACAGAGACACACACACAAACACACACCGAGACACGCACACAGAGACACACCCAGAAACACAAACACACAGACACAAACACAGACACAGACACACACACAGACAGAAACAAACACTGACAGACGCAGACACAGTCACAAACACAAACACACGCAAACACTCACACGCTTTTTTGGCTTGGCGCGTTTTCCACCAAACTGCGCATTCCAGCGTCACGAGGCAACTGGTTCGAGCGCAGCAGCCAAGCGATTCCGGAACAAAAACACCTGCAAACAATAGTGTGTCTCGAACTGTAGGTACCCCCCACCAAAAAAAAAGGAATCACACATGTGGAATCCCCCTTGGCCTCCCGAAAGAAACATCCCAAGAAAGCCCTCGAAAAATGCCACACAAACCACGCAAAAACCACGGGCCCACCGACCGTGTAGCTTCAAGGCTTTTTTAGGACTTGATGCGGATACTCAAATGAGATCCCACGATACGATGTAATCATTCCTGCGATTTCACACACCATGTGTCAGGTTTTGGGTCTGCCACACCGAGCTTTCAATGGGGCTCTCTTGCTACGAACATACCAAGCTCATGCACGACTGTGGTGATAAAGGCGTTCTTCAACACAGTGAGGATTGGCCGGGACATTGAGTTGGCAAGGATCCTTCCACGGGACCTGAACATGCCCTCTCCCATTTAAGAGAAAATTGTGCAGTTGACAAAAACATGACAAATATTCCAGGGTTCCCGCGTTACCTTGCAAAATAGAGGGGCTGTCAGGAAATTCAGGCAATGCTCAAGCAAGACGTGACAAATTCGAAGCCGAGAAGCACGCGATCGGTCACCGGTTGGGTGGAACTTGCCCTCCCTCGGAGCGCAGACAGCTCAGAACGCCAGTCAGACAGCGATTTACACATGGGTAGTGGAGGACACGGTTTCTCGCCCTGCAGGGTCCTAACTTCCACTTTCCTTTAAAAGCATGGATCAACGCCAGACTTCTGTAAAACGTTCCACTACCGAAGCCAAAATAGAGTCTTTGGCATTTGGTCCGTATCAGAGAGGACTTCCGACGCTTAGTCTCTGGGATCGCCCATTGGGTGGACCAATGGTTCCAAGGATGCATGAAGACAATCAGGCTCCTGATTTAGTTGCAAGAAAAGCTGAGAAGACCGATTATCAGGCATCAAACATCTCACCCAGGCCCTGCCCCCACCTAACTGGGATCACACTTTGAAGCTCGGCATGCGCACAGACTTGCCCGAGATCTAAGAGTTCCTTCTTTGAACCTTGTGAGCCTAGAGCTGGCGCTGATTAGCAGCCGTGCACGTGCTAAAGCGAGTCAAAAAATGTCGACCAAGCCCCTCGCGTGGCAATAGTGTGCATGTTAAATATGATTGTCAGGAGTTTGGGGGTTGGATTCAGTTGACGCGCCGAATGCCGATCGGTATTTGGCTCAAAGAAAACCAAGTAAAAGGCGCGCTTGCCCGTGGAAATCGAGAGAGGGGAAACCCCCAAATCCCAGCCGAGGGATAACTAACTGGCCCCTCGGCTTCTGTCCTAACCGGCCTTCGGCGCACAAGTTGGTAGAGCAATACAAGAGCAACACTGAACCACTGAAGCAACACCAAACTGGTAAACCCAGGCTCCAAGGGTTGAGGGAAACCGAGCCACTTGCGAATGCAACTTGCCTCTGCAGGGTTCACCAAAACAGGACACTCTCGGCCAAACATGCAGCACATCTCTGAATGCTGCTTTTCTTTTCAGAGGACGGGGAAATGTGGCACGCAAATTCCTGTTGGAATTTGGAATGCCTCTCTTGCACGCACTGGCAAAGCCAAACCGAACGCCGCCCAAGACAGCACCATGAATGCACCAAGTTCTCTCCCACTTCCACTGGTCAAGTTTTGCGCTAAGCATCATTCGGCCAGGACTGGAACTCTGCAGACATCCCACCCCCATCCACCAATCTAAATTTCAGAATGACGATGTGCTTTGAAAACAAACCTGGAGGTTTCGGATGCCAAGACGCTCGTTAATCTGTCCGACAGTGCGGTTGATGTGGATGGTAAAGGATTCGGGCTCCCCACTGGACCACTCCACCTCCACAGAGCCGCGCATACACTAAACGCATCTGCGAGTGGTATTTGCACATGTCAACCTCGGAGTGAGTTAAGTAACGCTACTCAATCAAAGGACCTGTCTTCAGGAGGGGGGGGCGTTGGTACCAATCCAATGTGTCCCTTTCGCCTATCACTCAGTACCCATGAATGCTCCGTCATGGCGACCTCCTTGGAAAGAGTGTTTTTTTGGACATTCTAGCTGTCTACCTTGCTTTTCTGCTCACTTTCAGTCTTCAAATGAGATGTTTGTCCCTCAACTGGAAACCAAGGGGTTCATTTGCCCAGCATGAAAAGCCGCATGCCAAGGGAATAATGGAAAAGGGCCCCAACAGAATGTGGAGCCCCTACACAGCAATTAGAGAGGCGGGAGTTGAGATTTGGAGAATGTTCAAGAATCTTTAGGCACCTCAAACACAAGCCTAAGAGCTTTGCCAGAAGACGCGTTCAGCTCGTAAAGGTCCTGACTCCTCGCTTCTCTGAAGAGTCCAACGGACTTTGACTGGATGTTTTTAAGGAGCCCTAAACTGGTCGAGGGCTAATTTTGGCAAAAGCCAACGGCAACTTGTGAAGCCAACGGCCAGCTTTGTGAAGCCTGGCTCAAAGCTGGAGCCGTGGACATCGGCACTGTGATAATGCGTGGTTTCTATCTCTCTCTCTCGGCCGTTGCCCGCGTCCAAAGGGTCTTGGCTGCAACGCAACATTGTGGTTTATGGATCCGAGATTCGGGCGGGTTTCCACTAAGGAATAAGACTTGCACCCGCAGCGACGACGGTTAACCAGTATGTCTTTTGCACGAGCGGCTGCGGCGCAATGTGGCTCAGACATGTCCTGGGTGATCTGCAGCACAGACCTGACGTCCATATTACTCACCCTTCACGGATTCTCAGCTGTTCAGTGACCCTGGGGGAAAAAGGGGGGAACCCTTTTTTGGAAAGCCAATTTTTAGTTGGGCAGCCACCAAACAAAAAGGGAAAAAGGGTGCCACTGAATGACTATGAGGATTGTATGCCGAAATCACACACACACACACCACCACGTGTTGCTGGTGCGAAATGTTTGCTTCAGCCAAAAAAGGATTCAGTGGAAACACACGTCAGGGATGCGTGGGAGCCCAAATCCAAATCAAATGCTCCGACTTGGAGGCTGGACACGTCGAAGGCAAAGCCTTTGGTTCTTGGAACTGGCTTTGAAGCTTTGGCTACCCTCCCATGGGAAACACAGAAATTCGCAGAGACTTAAAAAGTTTTTCAAGGCTTGGACTAGGCGCTCAGTTTTGGGTGTGGGGGGTTGAGCTTTGCAGGCTCGTGACTCACCCTTCAAATTGGACGGATCAGCTCGTTGCTTGTGTTTTTTGTCCTTGCACAGTATGGGGCTGGCCTGGCAAACATGGAAAACCGCAAAGCTCATAACGATTCATGGTGAACCACAAGCAATCAAACTGCTTCATCCCAGATTTCTGGCAATTAATGTGCAGTGGTCCGGCCCGAAGTCTGTGGTCCATAGGCATAGGTTCCTCGCAGTTCACGGGTTCGGAAACTTGTTCAGCATCCATTCCTGCACGGCTCCCTTTACATAACCGGGGATATGTGGCCATTGGCAAGCTCCTTTCTTCTGTCCCACCCAGCGATCCTCGGGCCCGAACCTACCAAACGAGCGACCGAGTGGACTCCTCTGAAGTGGGATCCCATTACTTCAAATCCGGCGTCCCGGATTTGCCGCATGGCAGGCAAACAACCAGCCGGGAAAAAGGCAGAGTCAACCTTCACACATTGTATATGAAGGATATCTGGGGGATACCTCTTTACACACATGCCAGAATCCCCAAAGCAAGTCGTTTCCTCTTGGCTTGCCTTCAAACCCCGTTGCAAATCAAGGGTGGAATTTCCAGTGGCTGTTCTCTCTTAGGCTCATCCTGCTGCCATGGGCCCACATACGGGTCCATTGCCAGGTCTGGGGATCTTTGGGCCGTGTCAGAATCAGCCAACCAAAGTCTTCAAGGGTTCATTGGGGCTTCGGGGGCCACAAATGGGCCACGCCCCGACGAGGGGCCCGATCTCGCAGGAGGGAGTGTTGCCAGCATCAGCCATGCGCTGTGCCTCCTGAGGCTTGGTCTTTGGGCCTACGAAGCACGAGTGGTGCAAAGCTGAAGGAAGGAGCAACACACGTTACCAAACAACAACTAGCACCCCAGCATATCCGTGCAACATATGACATACGGGGCCAAGACTGGAAGCCTGGTGCAGACCTCAAAACCAGCTGCTGACTCCACGATTGGCGCGGGACCATCGACAAAAATGAAGGGCCTTCTTGTTCCCACATGTGGGTGTGTCAGGAATTTTAGGGCACCTTTCTTGGTGGTTCTAGTTGGAACAAAGGAAGCCCGCTAGTTTTCTTGTGGGTCCCCTAGAAAAAGACCGACCCATGTCGTTTGATTAAGTGGCAAAAGTGTGCTTGAAAGTGAGACAAGCTCTGACAGCTCCGGGCCTCGCCTATTCGCACGCATCAACCAAGTCCTCCTGGGCCCTCTAACTTGCCTCCCCTAAATCCCTACATCAAGAAAAGAACAACGAACCATCTGTTGGTAGACTGCCATGCGAGTTGTTGGGGGAAGGGGGGGCGTCGAGAATTCCCCCATCGAAAGGCTACCATGTCTCAATGCACTTCTCCGGAATCCTGAATTTAAGGAATCCATTCAAAAGCCCGGAAGTGGCATTTATCCAAAGCAATCGTTGCATCAACTCATTAAGTGATTTCCCTTTCTCGGGAACTCACAAAGAGGGTTCAACAGGTTGTCCCCTCCGAATTTGAGGGGGTTTAAGGGTTCCGTGTTCATCTAGGAAGCGACTCATTTTGCCTACGATGGGTTCCGCCATTCGGCTTCCCAAATGGCATGCTGCCGCGCTGCAGCATCTGCCTGAGATGAAATCCCGGCACAGGGGGCGCGAATTCGGCTTGGGCTGTGAGCCTGTGAGCCCTGTGAGCCAGTGAGTCGATGGGTATGTCAACAACATGGGGGGGGCCAAAACAACAAATTGTTTGCCCGTTAACCTAAGCTGGAAAGGGAACCCCAAAAAGACAAACAACCCCAAGTGGCACTATTCCAGTCGGTAAGTCAAGGGGATGACGTTGACCCAACTGTCATTACGACAGCACGAGTACTTTCCAACCATTCTTTCCAGAAATCATGCTTTCAGTCAACAAAGCCACAAACACTGCGGCAGGGGAAAAGGGGAAGCGCAAGCAAGTCAGAAAATCGCGACATGCTCAAGAATCAGGTGGTCTCGGGAGGCAACGATAAGAGAAAATGGAGAAAACCTCTAGACCTCACGGCCAATAAACAAGAAAAAGGATGGACTGACATTTGAGGAGGAAATCCAAAATCATGATTGCCCGTGTTGGGACACACCACTGCAAGGAAACCCAACCACAAGCGGGCAAAGGGATCAAGGTGAATAATCCCGCGCGGGCCGAGCCGCATACTTCTTGAAAGCTCCGGCAGGCGCGCCCTTAAGCAGGATCTTGAGGCACTTGCCACACATGGCAGAGTAGTCCCATTCTGGCACGGGGTCACCCATTCGCGCCGGATGGAAGACATGAACCCGAATGCACTTCAGCATTTTGAAGGTACGCTGTAAACATTCTTAAATGGCAGTTCTTAAACGCCGAGTGTCTTCGCGTGACATTGCTGGGCGTTGCCTTTTGGAAGATACCGGTTTGACGCTAAGAAACACATTTAGGCAACACTTCTGGGCTTCGCTGTAAAGGGCCATTTCCGAGCTGCACGCTTATAAGCAACACTTTTGAGCAACACTTTCCGAGCAATACGTTCGACAAAACATCTGGACAACAATGCCTGAGCGACGGTTCTGCCTACTACTTACTTCTGAGTGACACTTGTCACCCACACTTCGGCGACACTCTTGAGCAACACTTATGAGTAACTGTTCCACACGCCACTCCTGAGCGACGCGACTGGGTGATGCATCCACACACTCCTGGGCAACACATCTAAGCCTTCCAAACGATACTGGGAAGCACTTCTGAACATTGTTCTTTAGCAACACTCTTCAGCAACTAGAAACTAATTTTCGCTACACTCAGTCAGAAGAAACTCAGAGCGACACTGGGCGAGATTGGGACCTTTGAGTTACACATCTCTTTGACGCCGGAGAGTGGTCATGTTGCGCGGTTTGCAGTTCGGAGGTGGAAGAAACCATCGTGGCAGCACTACTCAGCTCGTCCTTTGTTGGTGGTTTGGGTTGGTGGTTTGGAGGTTTTCTCAACAATTCTCGACAACACTTCCCGGCAGCACTCCGAGGTCTCTCGTTCGAGTCACAAAAGCTGAGCAAGAAAACACAAGGCCCCTGCGTTGTTGCAGTGAACAAAAATATGTTGGCGCCCGCGAAAGCTCCCCTGATCAACCACAACCTTCTGACTGAACTTCGCGAAGCTAGGGGGGCAAAGCGGGCCATGGCCCGAGTCTCTCGGCACCTTTCGGCTTGTCTTACCCGGGGTTGGCTGCAGACCAAACCGCGACACCCAAACGGAACCAAGGTGCTTGTTTGGAGAGGGGGGGGGTTAAATTGTGGGACAAACCACAAGCCTTCAGATTCTGCGACTGTCTTTGAGGCGGGGCCAAACTGTTGTAGAATGGCAGTGTGATCTGTTGGGCGTTTGCGACCTCGATTTGGACGATTGCCATGTCTGATCTGGAGGGGTTGAATCGCTAAGATCCCTCGAAGGAAACATGTTGGACTTCGCGCCTCGAAAGTAAATCCCGGCCATGGGGTCGTAGCTGGCCAATGTAGACTCCGCATTTCTGCCTGTGGCAGTTTCGGCGTTTCGGGCAGATTCGGGGTCCCCCAAGGGCAGTAACACATTGAGAGGAAAAACCGGGAACCAGTTCCAGAGCCCGGCCAAGCCATTTCAGTAAGAGCACACGAGCCCCAAGCTAAAGCCAATTGTCACGGGGAAACGCCCCGTGACGGCGCCAAACCTCACAAAAGGCTCTAAGTCTTAGAACCTAGGAGAACCTTAAAAGGGGGGCCCGGGGGCATAACGATGTCTCTCCTGCACAGCACTTGCCCGGGCCTATATTGCTGGACCCTTTTCATTGAGAATGTGACTGGGCTCGGCCTTGGCTGTTCCGTCCTGTTCAAGAGCTGTTGTGCGTGATGTTTGGCTTGATGTTGAACACCCCTGGGCTTGCACATTTAGAGACTTCCAAGGAACCTTCTTGGCTGCCCCGCGGCCCAAAATCCTGACACTCTGAGACACCCCCAATTTCTGGAGCAAAGCGATGAAACCTCGGCTTAGAAGCCAGGAAGTTCACCATAAGGCGTTTGAACTGGGAGCAAACGCAGTAAATGAAGCACAACGCGCTTTTCCCCTTCCTTATCCAAACCAGGCGGAATATAGCTTCGTGGTGGCACCGCTGCCAAGGCTGCTTTTCCTTGTGCAATCGGGGGGGTTGGTTGGAATGCCGCGGTTTCGCCCCTGCCTCCCTGCCAGGTAATGAAATGCACCACTTCCGGCTCCTCCCAGGGAGCTCGCAATTCAGGTCGACATGAAGAACAAGTTGTGGCTATTCACAATTTATGGTAATTCACCCTCACGTGAAAACAATGGAAACACAGCTCGGCCCTGGGCCCTAGGCAGCAAAACCTTAGTTTGACTCATGGCCACTCGAACAGGCCCGATTTGTGCGATCTGTCCCGCTCAGCAGCAGGCTTGCGCGAGGGGCCCAACCTGCCACCCACATCTGAGAGGTAGCCCAGCGGGAACAGAAACAGCAGCAGGACCTCGCGTCAAATGTGTTGTTGTCTAAACCCCCTGCCCTTTGTAAGGCGTTCACGACCATCCCTATCAACCCCAAGTTTTGACCACGGCACAAATGGGCATGCTTGAAAGGGGGACCGGGGCCCAAACGGCAGGTGCCTTTTTTGCCGAAGATGGGCAACCAACTTGTTAGAATGCCGCAGCACTTGCATACTCCTTGCTTGTGCCACAAGCTTTGGGCAATAGCAAACGGTCCTTTTTGGGGCCACGACCACACCCCTGCCCACAAGCACGTGTTCGTTTTGAGGGGAGCTGCCCTCCTGCAAAGCCACATGGCCAAAAATCCGCTCCATCCGCAAACGAAGGTTCACGAACCCTCCAGCTCCAGGCAAGCGACTAGGAAGGTGCACAGGTACCTCTGGTGAGAGCTGCAGGGCACGGAGGGGGCACGTGGGTGGCTGTGCTCTGACCCTGTCAAGACTCACTGGGACTCGTGAAGGCTTGTGGTTCTCCCTACGTTTTGCCAAACGTTATATCCCAAGGTCATGGTGCCAACCGCAAGCTGTGTCACAGTGATCGGGCAATGGTCGTAGCTCTCCCAGCAACTTGGGCACCAGGTTTGAGCTGCCCGCAAAGGCCGGCATTCTCCAATCGCCAGAAAGCCAAGGCGCGTGTGCCTGCAAATGTCCGTGCACTTGGAGCACATGGCACGCCGGTCCTCGCGTACTGTCCAGATGCAAAGGACCAAGCCTCACACTTCGGCAGCCGGGGACCGGGGATCCCTCGAGTTTCTTTGTTGAGACAATCGAAATTGGCGGTTTCATTGGACAATTGGACCAGACAAATTCGTGATCCTGACAGCAACGTCCTCCAGGTAGTTCTTCCATAGCAGCGCATTGACCTGGCCTCTGTGCATCGCATCGACGCCTTGTGCGTCGCAGAAAACCCTGAGCCACTTGTTTGCGGGCGGGCGGAAGCTGAGAAGCACTGCGCAGGAATGCCGCGGTGAGGGGCAAAGCCCCATAAAGCCCCTACTCCCACGAAAGCTTAAACGGTATACCGTCGGTATACCCTCAAAGACACCCAACAAGAGTGGCGGCGAAAAAAAAATGACAAGTATAAATTTGTTTGGAGGTTGGTTGGAACCTCGGGCTTCTTCCTGTTCAAAGTCCCGCTTGTTCAGTTGTGCCCGTCTTCCCTTGGGCACAGGAAACCGAAAACGGTCTCCCTTTCTCTGCTTTCCGGGGAAGTGCAACTGGGTGGTGCAACCTAGGCATGGAACCGCAAGACAATCATGCTGAAAGCATGTTTTTCTTCATGTTTTCCGACTACTTGATATGGACCACATTGGAAGGAGGGGCGATTCCTGGAGCCAAACACCAAACAACCCCAAAGCCAAAGCGTCAAGTCAGGATCGGCTGTGGCAGCTTGGGAGCCTTTGGAGGCGCAGGAGGGCAAGGAAGATTTGAACTGACTAGCAATAAATAGCCACAAGGGCATTTCTGGTTGGGCAAGCATCACGCATAAGATGCACATTGGACCCTTACAGCGATTGAGTCAACATTCGATGCCCGTCAGCGGCTGGTCCGCTTCAAATTCAAAAGGTCCCTCTTTGGATGGTTTGCAGAGTGAACCGCGCGGGAGCCATAACCCTATGTAGGCCCTGTGCCGTCCTGCAAACTGTGGCCAATAGGATTTCAAGGTACATCCAGCCACCCAAACAAGAACCGAAGTTCGAAAGCTAGCACCGTTTGCCGTACGTGCCAAAGCTGATTTTTCACCGGCCTGCAGACAAGTCCTTATCAAGTGGGAAACCAGTCCAGCCAGGCAAACCAGCAACGTAAAAAAGCGCAAGTCTAAACCAGCGGCAGGGTACACGTCCGGGCAGTGTGGAACGGCGCATGGCGGAACAGTCCTACTTTTTGCAGCGAGGTAGAGGGCCCAGGGAAGACCCACTTTCCCATGGGAAACGACTGGCTCTGACTCGAGAGGCAATTGATTCTCCACAGACAGGCCCAAATAAAGATACGCTCCTGGCAACCTTGCTTTTGTAGGCACTCCCCTGCAGATTGACCCGGAACCACGAAACGAGAGATGCATCCTTTTTGGGGGAACCCTTGTTCGTCTACCAACATCGTTTCAGATGGAAGGCATGCGTGGTGTTCCCAAAAATTGGCGCCTCTGAATTGTTTCGGCTGGATTGGAGGTTGCGTGGACAACACCAAGGACACGACTGATTATTCCGAATACTCAGTGGTGTCCTTGGTGTCATCCATGCTCTGCGCCAATGGAAAGTCGGAACCATTTGGGTGAAACCGACTACGTGCTGCACAGCCCGCAGGCACTTGGCTGGCACGCGCGTGCGGCTGGCAGGTGGATCAAAAATTGCAACGCTTGCCGCCTGCCCCCTAGAAAAATGCCGACTAAGCAGCATCCAGCACTGACTGCGTGTTTCCCCTGTCCCAAACCCCAAGCGCTGCTCGGAAAGCACTCTTGCTCAGCGCCCCGCTTCAGCTCGCCGCAAAAAACAAATCAGGCGGGCATAGCCCTGCTGAGACCAGGGGGTTGCCATGGGAAAAAGCGGGAAGCTTGTTTTAGGAAGTTGATTTTAAGGGGTAACCTCAGAGTAACCTCCTCCAAAACAGGAAGAAGGGGGCACAGGCCAGCAAAAGAAGCAGCCTGCCCTGGTTTTGGGTTTTTCTCCAAGAAAGGTCCCCACTAGCCCTAAACCACTACCCGCAAGGGAAACTAGGGGCAGAAACCGGCAACTGTATGAGGGTGCTTACACAATTGTCCCTTCAGTGAGATGCGGAGTGGGATCCATCTTCAAAAGATGAGATCAAATTGCTTGTGGGTCCTCATACCTTGCTGGTTCTTCAGTAGGGAATGAGCCAGGGTTTGGGAACAAACCAAAGGAAACCGTAAGAAAATTGTTTATAGGGGTAATTCCATATCTCTTTCCCTGCTGAGAACAAGCAAGATCAAGCAAGATAAAGATAAAGCTGCCACTTGCGCAGGTCTGAAAAGCTGACTTTTTGGATGTCTTTGGCCCAATTCCTTGCCCGTCGGCAACTGGGCACAATGCTCAGCGGCAGTGCCGGTCATGGGTTCGGTACTATGAAAGCCTGGGCTAGGGCTTGCGCAAGCTGCGGGTTTGTCGCACCCCGGGATCCCCGAAAATGGATGGTTTCCCTTTGGTCCCCCTTGAAACAACTCGTTTCACCATGTAAAAAAGTCAAACCCGTCCAGCTGCACCAAACTGGGCACAATCTTTGAGGAATTTCCTCAACTGCAGCCCGTTTCCCTTTTTCAAAAGGCGGCAAGCCAAAGCTTTCCCAGCTATGTCGCTTCTGCCAGCCCAAATGGGCTTGAGCTTTCTTGCTTTCACTCGGGCGTAAAGAGCAATTTTGCGGCTCCCCCGAAAGTGCGGAGGCCGAGACAGGTGAGGCCTCGGTCAGGTGGCTCAAAACTATCCGGACAGTCGGCAAAATGTCAGCTAAGGGAAAACCTGAGCTTAGATGTTCTTCAAAAAAATAATGCTCGACATTGAAACGGAACGACAAATACCACAAGCCGACTGAGTCCTGCATTTAACACCTCTTTCAAAATCATGCAGCACGAGCTGCCACAATGCCGGCGCTACAAGATGGAGACGGGACCCATGCCTTGTGCTTGGGGCAAATCACCCGGTGTGCCATGACCCTCAATCTGCAATCACAAGGGCAATGCTCGCTTTTGCTATAAGGCGGATGGCTTCTTTGAGCATAGCTAAGGACAACTAGCTCCAGACAAAACACATTATATCACTTCCTCATTCAGTAGCTTGGCCAAACAAGTCCAAACTTTCTATTTAGCACTACAATGGTCTTCCTAAAAAGTTTCACGTCCAATGAGCTCAGGGAGCTTGCAAGTACCTTCGGACCTCAATCGAAGCCTGTAGCCTGCAGCATGCAGCTTGCCGAGGAGCTCGCGAGAAGCAAAGTCCAGACATAAAGTCAATGCCTCTCGCGGACTGAAAAATTCAGAATTGACTGCAGCACTTATCTGAGATCCAGAGCTTCCAGCCACAACTCCCAAGAAAAAGAGTCCAAACACTTCCCCCCTGCCTCGGAGGCAGCACATCGCCCGTCTGGGAGGACGATGTTTGGCCAAGTGGCGCGGAGATCCACAAATGATCCAGTGCCGCGCCCGTGCTGCCTGAAATCAAGCAAGGCCATATCCATCCACAATGTTTCCGGACAAGCTCCAAGCAAAACTGTAGGTGCTGCCGCTTGAACCTCCTGAACTTTTGATATACCCAAGGCTGTCCGCGGCACCATGCCAAATGGGGAAAACAACCACTAGATCAAGTCAGTCACTAGACTAGATCAAGTCAGTGCCCGTGCTGGTGAAACTACACTGGCAGGCAACACCTTGGGCGTTGCTGGCAGCACATGGGGTGGCCACCATACTGTAGAGTTCAATGCTTGCTTGCATCAGCCGTACTGTGCAAGAACCAGCTGAATATTTACAACCTGCTTGCTGACGGTGCCGAGGATGCTGACCAAAAGCTCCACCTGAACCGCCCAAGTTCCCAACTGCCCTTGCAGCTGAAACAGTAAACCGTCGGAACATACGGTACAGCACACCGTTGTCTTATTCCGGCCAGCTGGCCCCTCCCATTGAATTAAACATGTTTAGTGGGCGATTCACAATTGACCCAATTGAGGCGAAGCCCCTCTGTTTAGCACGGTCGTTGGCTAATCCCCCCAACGCAAAAATCCTGGGAAAGTCGTTCTGGTCAGCACAAATGACCGTTTCGGGTGTTCGGAAGGAACCGGAAGGGGGTCACGGTCCCTTTGGAAGGGCCACAAGAAAATGCTTGAATTAGGGGTTCCATGAGTTCCAGTTCTCATTCCCTGAGCACTAAAACAGCTTTGATCCCCTTTTCTGGGTTGCTGGTGACCCCCCTGCAAAAAGTTTAGCTTTTGGAGGTTTAGTGAAAAACCCTTGATTTCCCAAAAATTGAAAGTCTAAAGATCCAATCCAATAGCAGTCAAGTTTTCAAGCCCAACCCCCCCCCCCAAAAAAAAACAAGAAGAAAAAGGCCTGCGACAGCATGTCCTGCATGGGCGTGAGGCCGCGGGCATCTTTGGAGCTTTCCCTGAGCCGCTGCAGCAGCTCTGGAAAGCCCGCGCCTTCGTTGCCTTGGCCCCGCAGCTATCCGCTTGGCTGGCTGCCTGGTTGGCATATTCTTTCTCCGGCATTTCTGGCGCTGTGGCCTTTGCTCTGGTTGCCAAAGTTTGCTCTGCCCCGCCTCCCTGCCCGTCGCAAACGAACTTAGCCTAAACCTGTCCCAGGCGCTTGCTTAACGCCAAAGGATCGGCACAAGTATCAATGTCACAAACAGAGGAATTAATTTGCGACAATATTGCACTCAGAAACCGACAGGGGCCTACCCAAAACGGACAATTGCGTTAGCAATATTGTACGTTGCTCATGTCAAGTATGCAAGCCACGTGATCTGAACGAGCTGATTGATCAGAAGTGATGGGCTTGATTCCAAGCAATCAACTCCATAAAGCTGCTTCAACTCTACATGTCAGCGAAAGTCTCAAGGCAGCTCAGCCCACTGGTCGATTTTCGCTCAAAGTTAACCCGAACAAGGTTGCAACTGGGGCCAGGCTGCCGTCCTTGTTCCGAAGCACCGCTTGTGCGAGGCCGGACAATCTCCGCGTTTGGGCGACCAAGGGCTTGATCTCTTTGGCCGCCTGGCTGATCCGCGCGTAGTTCTTTTCCAGGATCTCTTGCCGCAACATCCTGAAATGCACGGAACCACCGTTCCCAGTTGCAAAAGGCGTCAGGTGGTTTTCACCAAGTCCCGTTTCCGACGCTCGGTTCCGCCCAAGGACTTCTGGTTGTTCCAAAATCCCCGTTGCCACATCTACTCCAGCGAAATGATGAAGCCTTCAAGACTCAAACGGACTAGGTGTTCGGGAGCGCAAGGAATGTGATTCTGGCCAGGGTTGCTTCAGTGCAGGAAGCAGGCAAAAAAAGGTGCCTTTTTTGAGCCCACCCTTTTTGTGAGGTGTGAAAGAAGAACCAAAACAAAATTCACTTTGGGGGTTCCCAGAAAAAGACACGCCGCAGAAAAAACACAAAAAAAAACGACAAAATGCGCCGAGTGCAGGGACCGGAGTTCAACAAGTTGCCTGCATGCCCGGCGTCAACCCCCCGGTGTTACCCGTTTAGTCCGGAACTCTGATCTTCTTTCCCCCAGCCCAAAATTAACCTGGTTGGTCTGGGATGCGTCAGACAATCTGAAACAGGGGAGTGGCCGTGCCCTGCCGCCGAAAGTCCCGGCAGCTGTGTCACCACCGGACTCTCCAGCAGGTTGGAAATTGCGGCTGCTCACGTCCTTGTACATCACTTGAACGGTGGACAGCATCTGGGTCAAATAGCCTGCATTGTCTCGTTGCGATCTCGAGAAAAGTGGCAAACAGGTCGCTGGGGATATATCGCCTTTAGGTTGTGAGCCCAAACTGAAGGTCATGCTTTGACGGCGGAGAAGGTCGCAGCTGGTCATGCCGGGAAACTCCCAACCCAACTGGCAATGTAGCTTAAGTTGGCCATGTTGGCCAAACCAACTGATGTTCACACCACCAAGAACAGGAAATCGAATGAGTGAACTTGAAACAGCCAGGTACGGTCTCGATGTGCTGAAATTGTGCGTCTCTCAGACCAATCTTTCAGTCAATGCTCAGGTCTTCAGCCTTCCTTTTACGTCGAAGGCGCCCGGGCTAACTCAGACGTCACGTGAAGTCACCCGACCCGCATGAAGCCAACCCTGGGTCAAGCGTCAATGGGCACAGATCAAAGAGAAAGGTGCCAATGAACAAAGGTTGTGTGGTAGTGAAATGCATGTCTTCGCCTGATTGTAAAAACAACTGTGTCCAATGCAAACCACGATGGCACATATGCGCATCTCCAACCAATGAACAACAAACCACATTGACACAGCCTGTGGGAAGTAATTTGTGTCTGGAAGGCACCAAGCCCCAGCAACCCGTGTGTAAGAGGCCTCCGTCGCAGGCGGGAATGAAGACGCGCAGAAGAAAAGCTTGGGCAAGCATCAGAGTTACGGAGCAAATGCTGTGCAAACAACCACGACTTGGTTGACGTTGGGAGGGGAGCAACAAATTAAATTTTAGCAGTTACATGGGGATTTCCCACTAAACCACAATAAGCAAACATGTAAAGTGTGATAGAACCCCCCCCCCCCATGGGCACACTCAGCCGGGTCGACCCACACATGCATGAATTTCAAGAAGTTCGAAACACGAACTGCAAAGGTTACCTTGCTGATGGGTTCGCTCCAGCCATATAGAGCCCTACGAGCCTCAGGGAAGGAGAACCCAGGCTCGCACACGCACCCAGGTTGTCTCGGTTTGCGTGCATCTGACAAGTGGCTCTCAATGTCGCTGAGGAGTGGCGCCAGCTCCTCCTTGCCCATCAATGCCGTGGAACTCGAGTGGGCCAGAAGTGTGTCGAACATCCTGGGCTTCACTGATAAGCAGCACGCGCATTCCCGACAGCTACGCTTGCAGCATCGGTAATCCAACGTGCCCTTCCGACTTGCATTCCGAACCGGGAAACTATTGCAAGAGGGTTCTTGATTGCCCTTGAACAGCCGTTCGTAGGCAATTCCAGGAAGGCTGCCGGAACCCTTTGGGGAGAGGACTTGCCTCTTCAAAGAGGATATGCCTGGTAGCTTCGATGTGAGCCTTCGGGAAGGCGTTGGTTCACATATGTTCTTCTATCACTTGTCCAAAACGGCACAGATGCAAGATGGCACCAAATGTTGACCCACTAACTTAGTAAACCTTGGTCCAAGAGTAGCCGTCATCAGCCACCATGTTCGATCAGTTGGACTGGTGAATTAGTTGAAGGTACAGGGAGGCCTTCCCGTTTCAAGAACCCTAAAAGACCTATTCAGAAAGAGCTTTTCAGCTGCGTATGAGAAAAGGAATGCAGCTACCACCCAATGACACCTGTCACCAAGCCATAGTCAGAAGGGCCCTCACCTTTCGCATCGACGGTCCAAGGTGCCACTCCAAGGTCCCCATCTCACTGGCCACGGTGCGCAGGGACCCTTCCACGGAGCTGAACCTCAGCAGCAGTCTCGGGAGGCAAGCTCTAGCCGTTGGCTTTGCGCGAAAGATCATGTGCTAGGTCCTCCAGTAGAGAGGATAGAATGGTGCCATTTTTTTCTGTAGTCTATTTTGGTAGGGGAGCCCTCCCCCAAAAAAAGGTACAAGGGCCCTAGTATGGGCGTGCTGTTGTGGAGTGTAACGCGTGACGCAGCACCAGCCTTGTTGCGGAGCAATGCAACGGGGATCCGTGTTACACAGGTCCATGATACGTAGATATGTCACTTCCTCCACTGCTCCAGCTTGAAAGTTGCACCTGCTCAGCGCAAGCCGGGTAATAGCAAAAACGGGTCGCTGCACCTGGGCACCGAAAGAGGATTCTTCCGGTCCCTCCCTGCTACTTGTTCCAGCTTGTCTTTTTCTGAAGGGGGAGGTCTGGGAGGGGGAGGTCGTGTTACGTACGGTATGCAACGAGGTATACAACAAATGTCCGCCGCGGCTCTGTTACATACGCCACATGAGTGTGTAAAAATGTTTCGTAGACTAACGCGGTGAATCGCAGCTTCCATCAATTTATAAGGCCGCGAACCGTTTTTGTGTAACTTAGTCGATTCTTTTGTTGATGGCTCGGCCGAGTGGAAATAGCATCATGAGCCAACAAGTTGCACTTCCGCAGCGCATGGAATCTTCAAACAGAAATAGATCCACCCCCTTTCCACACACCGTTCGGCACATGGCAGTGGCTTCCCGTGGAACCGAAACTTTCCGAGGGGCAAGGCATAAGGGAACTCGATGCCTCGCGGCGCAGGCTCTGCCAGGGCATGGGGCAGTAAGCCCCTGACCTGGTTCAGGTACGCCAAAACCTTCTCCTCCTGCGGTGAATTTGGAAACGGAAGCAAACCCCGACCACCCTTAAGGTTGTTTTTTAAAAGAGTCGTGCAAGCCAGTGGTGTTTAAACATGTTTCACCAGGGGCTGGCCCAACCCGTTCAGAGTTCGCGTTCCCGTGGGCAAGGAAATTCCATTGCCCTCCCCAAATCGTCTCCGCAGTTCGGTCGGAAAGTCTCGGGAAGAAGGTCCGTGATCCGACTTACAAGCCCTTCATTTAGCCATCCCAGGTGTCTTGGGCACCTTGGCATAGCTCCTAGAGGCTTACGAAAGGGGAAGCCTGTGTTGGGGGCACTCGGCAACTCGTCTGTCATTCCGGTGTAAGCCAAGTGCGGCTGCCCTTTGGTAACACGCGACCAGGGTGAGGGCATGGTGGTTTGAAGCTGGCTTGTGGCGGCACGGTTTTGACTTGACTCCCTAAGACCCTTCTACAAATGAGCGCGCTTGGGTTCTGAACAAGGTGCGCCGAATGGTTGAACCAAAGGGTATGCCTTGGCTGCATGTCGGCCACTTATTGGTGTAACCTTTCCAGCCAGCTCGTTTTGACCTCAGCGCCCTGCGCAAGTCAGTGTGTGGTTCATTCCAAAAATATTCACTGTGCCTTTGCTACATGCTTGCTTGTTTGTTTGCTTGATTGCTTGCTTGTTTGCTTGATTGTTAACTTCCTTGCATGCATGATTGTTTGTGTGTGATTGCTTACTTGCTTGGTTGCTTGCTTACTCGCTTTCTTTGTTTCCTTGATTGTTGGCTTGCTTGCTTGCTTGTTTGTTTGTTTGCTTGATTGGTTGCTGGGTTGCTATGCTGCTTGCTTGCTTGGTTTGCTTGCTTGCTCGCTTGTTTGTTTGCTTGATTGTTAGCTTGCTTGATTGTTTGCTTGCTTGCTTGCTTGTTGGCTTGATTGTTGGCTTGCTTGCTTGTTTGCTTGATTGTTAACCTTCGGTTGTGTGATTGCTTGCTTGGTTGCTTGCTTGCTTGTTTGTTCGCTCAATTGTTAACTCGATTGCTGGCTTGTTTGTTTGATTGCTTGCTACAAACAAGCAAGCAAACAACCAAGCAAGCAACCAAGCAAGCAAACTAGCAAGCAATCGCACAAGAAAGCAAGCAGGCAACCAAGCAAGTAAGCAAACAAACAAACAAACAAACAAACAAACAAGGCAAGCAAGCTAACAATCAAGCAAACAAACAAGCGAGCAAGCAAGCAACCGCGTGCTTGCGCGTGCGATTCTTTGTTTGCTTGCTTGTTTGCTTGATTGTGCGGTTGTTTGTTTGTTTGTTTGTTTTTGTTTGAAAGCTTGTGTGCCTGTTTGGTTGTTGTGTGCTTGCTTGTGTCCTAGTTTGCTTGTTTGCTCGCTAGGTTGTTGTGTGCCTGCTTGCTTTCTTGCTTGTTTGTTTGTGTGCTTCCTTGCCTGCTTGATTGTGCGATTGATTGTTTGTTTGGCAGTTCCCAAAGGGTGCGGATTTATTTTGGGATGTGTTTTTCTTTTTCTTTTTCACGTTTTTCGTCCAGGCCAGTAAAATGTTGTATTTTACATAATTTTCTCGAAATTGACGCATTTTACACTAGCCCGTCAACATCCCCAGCATCGTGTTCAACATCCCCCGCATGTCCGACCAACATCCCTAGCATCACCAACAAATCGTGGGTAACAAAATCGAAAAAGTAGCTGGCGAATTGACGGGGTCAAAAAATGATGATTCAAATAGGAGGGCATTTCAGTCCCTGTAAAAAGTCACTAAAAAGTAGCGGGGGGTTGGGGGGGGGGGCAGCAGCCCCCCCATGATGTTCGCAAAGTGATGATTCGAATAGGGATGATTCAACTCGGGGTGCAATTAATTAAAGCTCTGTAGAAAATCTAAAACGTAGCGGGGGGGTTGGGGGGGGGGGGCCCCCCCATGATGTCGGAAGAAGTGATGATTCAAGTAGGGGTGCAATGATTCAAGAAAGGGTACGATAGAATTTAAAAGGCAGCGGGAGGGTTGGCGGGGGTGGCTTCCCCTATGATGTTCGAAGAAGTGCATACATACTGACATACATGGATTACACAGATTACCTAAAATATCGTATTTTTTGCAGCATTTTCTCGCGAAATTGGACGCTCGAAAAAGTGATGATTCAAATAGGGGTGCAATTCAATCTCTGCAAGAAATCTAAAAAAGTGGCGGGGGGGTTGGGGGGGCGGCAGGCCCCCCCATGATGTTTGAAGAAGTGTTGATTCAAATAGGGGTGCAACTACTCTGCAAACAATCTAAACAGTAGCGGGTGGGTTGGGGGGGCCTTCCCCCCCATGATGTTCGAAGAAGTGATGATTCAAAAGGGCGGAACTGGTGATGCTGATGATGCGGGAAGCCAAATCCAAAAACCAATGAAAGGGTGCAAAAGCCAAAAAGCCCAGAGAGGAACTGTGAAAGCAGAGGATGCGAAAAGCCAGCCGCCAAAAGCTGCATAAACGCAAAAGCCAAAACGCCACCTGCCGAAGAGGAACTGGGAATGCAGAGGATGCGAAAAGCCAAAGCCAAAAAGCCACCAAAAGCCGCATAAACCAACAAACAGCCAAGAAGCCAAGAAGCCGAAAAGCCAAAAGCGGGGGGGAAAAAAAGAAAGTCCTAAATTAAATACCCCTCCGTTCCCAAAACCTCGAGTCTCCTCATTGGAGGAGCCGTCCACATTCTCCGTAATGTCCTCCAAGGGGGAGCATCAGCCCCTTCAAGTCATGGTTGAAACCCTGGAGCTCCTTTGGGCTTTTGACTTCCAAAGAACAAACACAAATACCTGGACCCCCGAATTCCGGAAACTCCGTGTTTCACCGAGATTCTCGGGGGCTCGGGACGAAATGCATTGGGCTTCACCCGAGCCGCGACCACAGCCGAGTCTCCTCTTTTTCGGAGAGGCCCATGACCCGGGACAACAAGCCCTGGATCTTGGCCATGGCCTTCTCCAGCTGCTTCTGCGCCGAGGAACGGGCGGAGGAGTACCTCACTCGGGGCCTTCGGGGGGCGTTGGATTCGCTGGGTCCCGAAATATCCGGGGGGAACAACGGGGGGGGGGGGGGGGGGAGCATTTTGCCGTCGCGCATCTCACTTCGGGTGCCCCTAGGAAGCCGGGGTGTCACGGAAAGCCGCGGACAACGAAAACACTTGCCCGTTCCTGAAAGGATACACGGATACATCCAACAACCACCTGCTTATGGGGATTTTCAAGCCGGCCGCCGATGCGCATGTGAACAACCCCGCGAATTACGTGCCCAAAAAGCATCAGCCCCAGAGCCGAGCCGCAACAGGAGGTCGATGATAAGCATGATCGTGCCACCAAACACTGTGGCCTTCACACTGCTTGCCTTGGAGCAAGAAACCATCTGGGCAGAACCCCTAACTTGGCTCTCGGGAATCAAAAGGTCGGGTTCGAGGGAATGAGGTATGCCGAAAGAACAAATATTGAAGGAACTTTTTCGGGCGGTTTCGCTTTGGTGTCCCAATGCTATACAAATAACCCCACAACGGTACATACACCAACCTGGCAAGAATCATTGAACCGCTCACACATTGAAACTCGAAGACCAGGACGTAACCCAACTTGTGGCGGCGACAATGTGCCAGCATACGAGCGGGACACAAACAGATCTATCTTGGGGCCCTGGATAGCTAGCAAAGTCAAACAATCGATGCGCTCGAGGCATCTTTAGAAGTTCTCAAACTTGTGTAGTGTTTTGGAGGCTGGGCGGGCATAGGTCCCGTTGGGTGTCCTTTCGTGATACTCCCTTTTGGTTGTTGGAAAGGGGAATCCAACCATTGTTGAGGATGCCGACTCAGACCCACAACCTCCAGCCAAACAAATACATCCGCATCAAACAACGTTCCCTGAAGAATACATTCCAACACCACCTGCTTTACAGAGTTTGATCAATCGATGTTCGCCAAGCCAGCCATGGCAAGAACACCCTTTGTTTGGTAATCCATTTGAAAGTTGGCATTTTCGGGATTTTGCACGTGCCCTTTTTTTCTGGGCTGGTATCTTTTTGGGATTCTTGCGGTCACCTTCTTCCTATCCCAAATAAGGCGATTCAAGGATCGCCCCGCCATTCTCGGGTGAACCCGAATCCTTCAAACCATGGATGTTTCATCAAACAAGCGGGCCATGGGGACCTGGTACCTTCTTTCGGGTGGGGATTCTTCCATTTGCTTAAGTCCCCTGGAAAAAATAAAGAATATGTCCAGTAGTGATAGATTCCCTTTAATACCAACAGTCTTTTTTGTAGCAAATGGAAGGATTTCTGCCGCAGAGGTGCCAAGCTGATCTCCGCCTCCACCTCGATCTGGGAGTTGTAGACTCGAAAGACCCCGGTGGCCGGCACGAGGGCCAACGCGCCGATGCCCAAGACCGGCATGGCCGTGCTGGCGTGCTCCTATCTGGGAATCTCTTCTTGGGCCCGGGCCAGGTTTGCATTCTCCATGCAAAGGTAACTCATAGTTGCTCCCCTACAGATTAACATGGAACCACAAAACCATTTTTTAGAGAAATCTCATTTTGGGGGATGGGAGTCAATGCTAAATGAACTGCAGGAAAGTGGCGCATAAGAATCGTCCACCCCCAGAGAACCCACGAAAATTGTACAAACATGTCCCATTGATCCAAGAGAAGCTGTGGGACATGGAGGACGTGGAACCCCTCCCTATGCAGTTGCTAGCAGGTGAGGATGTGCTCCTTGGAGTGAAGGATCTGGAAGATGAGGAACACCGCGAAGCAGAACCTCAATACTTTTCTTGAGCACCGGGCTCGCCCCTACAGCAGCCGCTTGTCACAAAAATTCGGGAACGCGAATCCTTACAACTCACCAGAATTCATTGGGTGCAAATGAGGCTAAAGATTACGGACCCGCTCCAATTTGCAAAGAGTCACCCTGGTGGGAAAAAGGTGCCATGTCCTTTTGGGGTTGATCGGTTTTAGTGGCAACTCACCAAGAAAGGGAAACAAGGTGTCACTGAACAAGTGGCCCCGCAAATGATAGACACATAGGATTTGTTGATACCCTGTAAGTGTCTATGGCATGAGCCCCCCAAGAAAGTTCTCAGAAGCTTCTTAGAAGGGACTAGGAAGGTTGACATGAAAAACATCAACTGGAGGCAAATGATGGCAATGTCTGGGCAGGGCACATGTGGGGCTGACAAAACTAAGCTTAACTAATCAAGAATCTAAGAAGGCCATGCAAATCACTGGTGGGTCGCCACAAACGGAATAGCGTGCATGAAGAAGGTGATTGAAACCAAGAAGGGTATGGCGTTTGACTCCCCAAAAGGGTACTCTTCCCCGAAGGCGGCTTCACGGGAAACTAAAGCAGTAAGGACTAACCCCAAATTTTAGGACACATGTCTGGAGCTTGTTGTCCGGGGCACAGGAAGATCCCGTAGAGTGTGGCATGGAACTCCGTCTGCACCGCCAGCACCTGTTGGGCAGCCTGACCTAACACCGTGCCGATGACCGCGCTGTTCAGGCGTCGCATGATGAGGCTCAAGGAGAAGCCCGCCTCGGTTTCAATTGAGGCAACACCAGTTTTACGGTCCGCCTTGTACATTGTAGCATACATACCACATGCATACCTACATACCCGTATCCACCATGGCTTCGACATCGCAGGGAAACCCTGATTGACGTCAATGCACCGAGACAAGCCGCCACAGAAGCTACATCATCATGCTCACACATACTCATGACCAAACTTAGCTGGAAAGGAATGGCTAGCCGAAAATGAGACCAAATTATTTTAGAATAATTCAGAAAACTCAAAAGAAGCTTAAGAAGCTGAACCAAGTTGAGCAAATGCAAAGTTTAGGTACATATAAAAGCATATAAAAACATATAAACAAGGTTGAGTGGTTGTTTCTGTGATTGTGTTACAAGAAAATACACAAATGTAAAGAAGTTTAGACGGTTTGGGGGAACAACAACAAACATTTTTTTTAACATGTTAAACATCTTATGCTTTGCTATGGTGTGGTTCACAGGCCTTCTTTAAAACGGTCAACGTATCGTGTTGTGATGGTCAATTTGCAGTGAGTTGCACCAGATGTCCTTTTGGAATTGAAGAGCCAAGCTCAAGCCATTGACCCAAGTAGGACAAACCAAACAACTGCCTTGCCACAGGTCTGAAACCTGAAGAGTTGTCCAAAATCAGGACACTCCTGGTTGGCTGGGAATAAAAAAGCAAACCGCAACGCCACCATGTGGCCGCGGCTCAAGACTAAACATCAGGGGTGTGCGCAGGTTTTAGTTCTATCCGGGAACCCTCTTTGCGCTGTTCGAAGTGGAGGCTTGGGTTTTCCCCCAAAAAAAGAAGACACAAAACGTTCGGCTGTTTTTGTTCAGGGCTGTATCCCAACTAATCAAAGGGAACACCAACCCAGGATCTGTTTAATCTGCTCCAACCAATTTATGAGGCGGAATCTAACAAGCAATAAAAAGTCACTCAACATGCCAATCCGAGTCTGAGACAAAGCTGTTGCTCAATGGATTATTCCCTTCTCCTGTCCGTTCCACAGGCTGAATTCGATTCTTGCAAGAACCCTCTTCCCGACTCGGGCATGCCCTTTACTCACTGCCGTGAATCGGCCAAACAAGTCCAAACCTTTTGTTTACAACTGCAACACACCAAAAACAAACAAGGTAAAGGCTCTCCAGGAATTTATGCTTTGTACCAACGGAGTCTAAAACAAACAAGTCTCCCAGAACCCAAGTCCAAGTTGTTTTGCAGGGTCACGGCTCCCTTTCGCCCTTGCGGCGCGGAGAGCACCTCGGTGGTATTGGCGACCACCACGGCCACGGTCACCGCGGCCCCGTAGTTGTAAGCACTCATGGCGCGCTCGAAGCCCAACCAACCGAAGAGGAAGGCCAACACCATGGCCAAGGTGCTGCGGAACACGAAGCCTGATCCCAAAACGGGGATTCCCGTAGAGGGGGGGAAACACTGGGGAAAGCAAGGGGAGGCACCGCACCACTAGGGAAGCAAGAGGACTAACGCAATTTTTCTAGGGGCTTGCTCTCTTTTAAGACGGTAAGGAACATTTGCCAATAAAGTTGGCCACGGGTCCGTCTTTTCAGGTGGGTGAGCAATCCCGTTTCCGACAACTTCGCGAACGGAGCCTCCCTGTCGAAGTCATCACGGGAACTCGTGTTCAAGGGGAAAGCCAAAGAATCCTCGCGCTGCGAACCTGTACAAATCTATGTTCTATAGTTGGGACTCTCTCGTGCTTTGGCCCGGAACTCGATTCAACTGCCATACCGCGATAAAAAGACTCTAAGCACTGGGAGTGAGTTCTCCTGAATATCAGCTTGCATTGGTTCAAATTCGCAGTTGGGATGCCTTGTGATTGGGTTTTCCTTTTGGCATCACCACGCCAAAAGTATCTCACTGGAAAAGCGATGCTTCAACTGCTTCGTCGCCAGGGCGTACACAAATTTGGATCTCCCTGCCCCAACCATTGGTTGGGACCGTCCCCTACTTCACCTACCCAAAAGTTCTTCATTGTGGCTCAGTTTTTAAAATGGATAGCTTCACCGGTGCTTCCCGCAAGAAAGCAACTTGCAAAAGCCTATTCTCAAAAAAGGCACAATTCCAGAAACCATGGAAAATTCTGCACGAAGTTCGTCAAAACGGTATTTGTTAGGTCTCTGGCTAATTTCCTGTAGATACCAATAACAAAGCATGCCCACAAGGAAGCTCTACCCCCCCCCCCTCTCCCGTCCTCGCAAATGAATGTAGAACCCGAAAAGAAGATTCCTCTTAACATGCAAGTCTTTAGTTTCCTGGCAATCAGAGTGGGCGGGAATCGTCAGAGGGGGGCCAAACTATTTTTCCAGTGCACTTTCGCATCGGAGTCTTAAAATTGGGGGCCCTTCAGGGGGTTGGTTTCCTTTTGTGCAGTTAATGTTCACCTCGGATTTAACCGATTCCACTCATAGAACCGTTGTCCCCCACTAAAGAGGGCACACCCCTCCCCCCAGGGTGTTTATTCATCCGGGGTTCCCAGTACCATCCTGGGTGCCTAGCCTACGGCCTCAAAAAGTACAAAGTCCAGGAAACAATCATCCAGGGTTCCCTAAGAGACATCCCCCTTCCAACCCGGCCATTATGCTTCCCAAGCTTCGGAGATGGGAGGGCCGGCTCCTGGTCTGCGGGAGATCCAGTCGGCTAGCAAGGTCCTCACGGAGTCTCAAAAGCGCCTTACCTCTCCAAACCAAAGCCACAAAGAATCACTAGCCATGTTATACACGATTCGTCTACTGCACATCGTGCTGGGGTTAGGGTACAACCACAGGAGCATACCCGCATCGGTGCATGATGATAACCATTGATGGTCTGCAGCCCGGAGCGCACCCTTGCCGAGGGAAGGGGAAAGGGAAGAAGCTTTGGTAGTCACTAAAAACCAGAGAGCACAAATAGTGGTGAAACCCTTTAACCTCCGGCTGTACTCTTTGTGCAGATCTCTCCCTTGCTGCCTCCTCAAAATCGGTGTGCACTGACCTGTCAAACTTCTGTGGCAGACTTTTCAAGAGTTTGTCCTGAAGGAGTCAAGACACAAGCATATGTGTTCTTGTTGCCTACATGTGTGATTCAGCTTGAGCCCTACCTCATGCAAATAGCGTGAATAATGAATTCACAAATGAGATTGCAGCTTCGAACAGGTGAGTCCCAACAAGGGTTTCCAGTTGCTCCTATGGTTTCCATGCTTAGCACTCTCCAAACTGGAGCGATCCTTTCAAATTCTTTGCTGACCTACTTGCCCAATTGTTCCCCAAATCACGAGAGCTTGCCCCGTTTGGTGTTGACCTCAAAAAAGACTAGCAATCAAATCAGTGTCAAGCCAGGCTTCAAGTCTCAAAGTTCCTTTCCCTTAAGTCCGCGAAAGGCAAAATGCAATGAACAGGAACATCGAAGCTCGACTTGCATCAACCGGTTGCAACTTCAACTCTTTTGGAGAAGGGCAACCTGGACATGGTTCTGGAGCGTCCTGGTTGCAGCCGTTGGCCCCCTAACAATGACATTTAGATTCAGGGCCGTGCATTCAGTGAATCCAATGAATCTTAAAGTGCAGCATGGTGTCCAAAAACGCAACAACACAAAGAAGAGAAGCAACTCCACTCCACCTTGCACCGCTTGCATTGTTGATCCAAGCTGCGCAGAGCCAGGTCCAAATGGCACAGCGGCTGCATGGGCTGACGATGGTCCACTGCTCCAGCGATTGCAGCCGCTTCACGATGCCCGAGCTGATGGTGCCTTGGCATCCATCGGGCGGCAAATGACCGACTCCCCGACGTACAGACTCTTAGGGGCCTGGAAAGGGCTGACATGGGAGCGAACAGCCGGTGAATCAGGAACCATGGTTGGCCGTAAAAGGGCTTCAGACTTGCACAATACGTCATGTTCGTGATTTAGTTTCGTTCTTCAAGAAATAAGTATTCCTCGTTTGCGGGGAAGGGATTCACTGATAGGCAACACCAGGCAATCTACAGCCAGATCTGTCCCGAACAGATCTGGCAAACAACTTTTGAGAGGTCCCAGTCATCTCCGAGGTACACAAGGCCAGTACGAAGGCGAGCACATTGCCAGACAGTTGCTGCTCAGGTTGCTTCTGGCTTTGAAACTCCTTGCGCCAACCCCCAGCAAACACTTCGGGGAATCGGCCCCGAAAATATCTTCATACTGCAGGACAACCGGTTCCTTCACACCAACCAGATCTTCTCAAACAAAAGAAGGGGGCCCTAAATTCTTGGAACACCAAGACAAGTCAGACCCTTCACGTGAACCTGATCTTAGCTCCTAAGTCTTCCCTGGAGCCATCAACCCCAAACAATATCTGGTCTTCTACTAGCGTCCTGTCCGGCGCACAACTTTCCGTGTTGACGTCAATCTTGCCACCACTCACCCCCCAAAGTGTAACCTCAAGCAAAGCCTCTTCGAGGCCAGCTTTCGAGTTTCGGCAAACAACTACTTGCATTTTGTGCACAAGCCAAGAGTCTAGAGGTTAAAGACCCACAGAAAACGCCAGGTTGTGGCCCGCTAAAGTGGAGAGCGCGCTGTAGTCATTCCCGGCGGATGGATGTAAGATTCTAGAAAGCAATTCGCCCGTGGCGTTGGCAAAGACTTCCGGGTTCTTGCGCGATATCTCCTTCTGGTTGGCTTGAACGAGTGGGTTGATGCGTGAATGGGAAACATTAGTTGGTGTGGCAGGGATCTCCCAAGGGCGTTCCCGGATATCTTCAGAGGTAGAGGCTCGATGGCGGCTCGCTTGTCGGCACCCAGACTCACTTGCACATCGTTCCTGGAAAGGAGGTCCAGGATGCCAAGGCATCGATGACGGTGAGTCTGGGATGCTTCATGATCAGTGCTTTGGCATTACTAATGCCAGGGCTAGGAGGTGAAAGGCGGGTGCGGTCTGTGCATTCCAGAACATGCAGACATGAGCCAGGGCGCTGCGTGTTTCGGCTGACACTTGCTTCCAGCTTCGCCAGTCGATCAGATTATAGCGAGCGATCGACCATGGCAACCGAGTACCCTTGGCTCGTGAGGTCAGACCGTGCGGCCTAGGCGGCATCGGAAAAAAACGTTAAAGGAAACGCTTTGATGGTGCCCAGCTTCTCACTGCTGCTCTGGAGAAAAACTTGTGCTTGAAGGTGAAGGCTGCTTTGTGTGGCTGGCCACTGTAGGGCTCGCGGTATAGCCCACGAAGTGCGGATATCTCCTTGTCGTGGCGTGTTCTCTGTCAGGTGTTGTGTTGGGAGAGTGGGCTTGCTTCTTGAGGTAGCCCTCATGGCTTACCTGGATGCATTCCGGGGTGACGTTGGTCTTGTCACCACAACCAGGTATGTCATCGACATGAAGTTCGTCCGGCATACCATATGCGGGTGACGCGTTGTTGTAGCCCTTCCCATTGGAGGAGTTCTCGGGATTCAGGATCGCGGGCGTTGAGTCGCTGAGCAACAGCTTCCGCACAGAGAAGATGTTGAAGTCCCAGCCGTTAACGATGTCGAACTCACACTGCCTTGTTGTCACATTTGTTGGCCGAGTTCGCCTTATCAGCTGGGTGAGCATGGCTTGTTCGACTTTGGTCGAGGCAGTTCTTCTGTTACTGAGTGGCGTAGTGGAAGGATCGTCAGACCTTGTCGGTGACAAGGGACGTTGACTCAGCGGTGTAGTTGGGTTCATTGAAGGTGTCGTTCTTCTTTAGAGCGCTTCGGGATGCACAACAAGGGGATCCGTACAAGAGGCAGGAACTCCGAGTTTATGAAGATTTATTAAACTTCCATGAATATGTATGAGAAAAGAATAACCTACTCTTGCTGTTTGAAAAGGCATGACAGCAGGGGGAGGTCAAACAATGATGCCTTGAGGATTTTTTTGGATTTCTGAGATTTGTCAAAACATGTTCATTTTTTTCTTTCCCTAATTTCAAGTTTTTTTCTAACTTTTCAGAACTGTGTTTCGCAATTTCAGAATTTGTGCGACTATCTTTTCACTTGCATCGACTCTTGGCAGTTTGCCGCCGTCAGGCTTTGGCTGCCCAGTGGCCAGTGTGACCACATCGCAAACATTTAGACGATGACGTAGGCAACTGTAGAGCGGACTGAGCGCATGGCTTTCCAGCCGTCATAGCCTTTCTTGCCCTCGCCCTTCTTGCCCTTTCCGCCTCGTTTGCCAGGCGGCCCACGGGGCAAGCTCGTGCCAGGCGACGGACTAGCGAGAGCGATCACAGGATAGTAGCCGCGGCTGGGTTTGATCTCGGCCAGGAAGCGCCGGGCGTTGAGGTCTTGCTCATGGTCGTAGTACTGGTAGTCGCGATTGCAGTCGACGTAGGCGTGCTCGCACTGCAGGTCGTAGAAGTCGTCTGATGCGTCCTCGTATTTGGCGGGTGTATCAGGTTGTCATCAGCAGCCACCATGAGAAGAGCACCCGGTTTGAGGTACTCCTCGGAGATTTCCTGTGAGGTAGATGTCCTCGCCCATCCAACCACAGCTTCGGGGAGCTTGGTGCCGTGTTCTCGATGCTCTGAGCACCATACGAGAAGGCAGCATGATCTTGGCGAAGCCGGTGTCGTCCTCCGCGAGTTTGTCCACCGAGTGTTCCACGCACCCTGCAGGGACTCCTTCCTGGGGTCATCTTCTTTGTAGTCGGCCTTGCCGGAGAAGGCGGGGATCCAGGAGCCGCTGGTGGCACTGTCTTGGTTGGTCTGCGAAAAGTCTAAAGGGACGAGAGCCCCTTGGGTGACGCATTGCTCTTGCTGTCGGAGGTGTGCTGCGGCTGCTGATGAGGCTGTAGTAGCCGGAGCGAGGAGGGCTCCGCTACCAATGTGAAGATTACAAAGGAGTTCACGGTGATCTTTAGGGGGAGGGAACTTCAGGGGTAGAAGCTGAGGCTCACGATGTCTTCTCCCAAACAGGAGAGTCGGTGCGCGGTTTTCACCGCACGCCAGTAGCCAGGATGGCTGTGTAGTGCATTAGCCCTTCCCTTGATTCGGAAGTTGCGGCGGGGTTCACATGCTTGGATAAGAGATGTTGCATGGATTGCAACTCGGCAGGCATTTCTTGCAACTCACACCGGCCTTTGTCGGATGACATCTGTGTGTTGTGACGTTCCTTCGCTTCGGGCGCTGGCTTTTACCGGAAGCCAACACTTAGCGACGGTTGACGTGCCGTCCGCAAATTTGTCTGCTGGTTTGCCACAACACGGCCGCGGCTGGCCCGCGCTGCGAAGAAGGCTGTCGGCACACGGCAGGGTTGTACGTGCTGCTGTGGAAAACAAATTCTCAAACAAGTTCTTCTTCAACATCGGGCTGCACAATTGCAGTTGTTCCAACCCAGAATTGCAATTTGGCAGGGAGGGAGATAACTGTCCCCGCACTTCAGGCCTAGAACGCTTCAACAACAGTGTTAAAAGCTATGAGGGAACATCACGCGAGTTCAATGTCCAAAAGGTTTGGAGCCTTGGACACGGCTGTGGGCAGCTACTTGCAGAGACTGGTGCATAGATGTTAAACTCAATCCTCTCTCACTGCTCTAACTTGCCCAAAGAATCCGGAAAACAAAGAATAACCCTTCGGAGCTCAAAGGCCGGATTTCGGCAAGTCAGTTGTTAAAAATGTGGCGGTCTTTCATCCCCCCCCCCCCCTCCCACTGGAAAGGCCCTTTGTTGGCCCACCTCCCTACACCTTACTTGGCGGGTGCGGATGGCCCAATGGCCTTGAACATGGTTTAGACGGGTGCTTCCTCAGCGGTTTGGATCCCCTCCCCTCCCCTCAGATTGTTGCACTTAGCTAGATGGCCTGGAGAAACAAACAAGTACCTGTTCATTTTGCGTGGGGGGGGGGGAATGAACAACAAACTTTGGTTGCTGATCGAACTCGTTTTGGCATACATTGAGGGTTGGGGATACTGCTTGCTTGTTTCAGTTGGTTTCCTGCCCCCTTTGCATGGGTGCCCAGGGAAACCAGCAGAAACCACGTGAGCAGAAACCACTTGAGGAGCAAAAGCAGTCCTTCTGCCAAGTCTGCAATACTGCCCTACAAATCAATATGGAACCCAAAGTCGTCTAAACATGGTGGGTTGTTGGGCTCCATGCTAAACTGTTCGGGAGTAGATCCGAAACCAACCATGAGGCACTTTGTTCGTCCCCCCCCCCGAGCAGCGGGCTCGCTATACCGGTAGTTTTGGTGGGTATGTGATGGGCCCGGCACCAGAACAGTTTCCACCCGGATTTCCAGAATGGTCCTCTAAAATGACTGGTTATCTTTTGGGTTGCCTTTACAACTTTACGTACCCTCCACATGCATTTCGAGAGCCCCTCAAAAACCGGTACCCAACATGGGAACCCTGGTACATGGAAACAAGGACCAGGTGGCTTAGTTTTGCGTCTAGAAAACGTTTTGGAGGCGCTTTCTGCGGACTTCACCTGTTCTTTTTTCCTGTTGGTTCTCTAGATTGAGGGTATGGGTGGTTTCGGACGGCTTACCCGTCCTTCTGCATGTACTCCAGTGCTTCTTCCAGTTCCTCCACCGCATCCTTGTCCACGCTCGTGCCAGGCAATGGGATCGCCCGTGCCGCGCTGGTGCAAATGTCCGTGAGGGAGGGCAGCCTGCCTGGCCAAAGAGATGGGCAACAAATGGGGTGCCCACAGGAGGCATGGTCATCCGCATGTTTCAACGGTGCATCCTCGAGACCTGCTAAAAGCGAGAATTGTGAAAGGTCCAAGATGTATCACGCAAGGGGCGCTGATGGTGCTGCAAAGACCTGCGCAAACTGTTCAAACCTGAAATAAGAATGGATCTCCAGGAAAGGAAAGGGACCTACATGCCCAAAGAACTACCGCCGCAAGGGTACACAGTTGGCCTCTGGAAAAGCACAACACGGTGGCAATACGGTCTGGGCATCTTGTGAGGGTCGAAGCAAACCTGAGCATGGGAGGCAGCTTGTGGACAATGGTGTGCGTAAGCCAAAGTGGCTGCATGAACAAAAATGCAGGTTGCATACCCAATTTGTCCGATACACTGCTTCGACACTGGTTTGGCCAACTTTGCAGCGCATGGTTGTGGAAATCGGCCCTAAAGAAGAAGACCATCCGGACGGCAATCAGACGCGTTCCAAACAAGAATGCTTCCACTCCCAAGCTTCAATGCAAAACCACACCACTTAAATACCGTGCAAAGACCTGACACTGCTCCAGCGGTATCTCCAACCCTGATGCACGTCTTACAAGTTCACCCATGAGGCGCGTGTCTAGCGAATCAAACACAGGCGGGCGTCTATAGTTGGGCTCAACAAAAAGGGACCAACTGGCAAAACTTCATCCCCAGATTCGGAAGTTTCCATGCGCCTTTGGAAGGTAAAGCTTTCAGAAGTCGGATTACTTACTACCTCCAACTCTGTGCATGGGCGCTCTCGTTGTCAATGTCCCATCTGCCGGAATCGCATTCCGCTGGGTTCAGCGGGCCAAGGGAACTGTCGGGACCCCGCTGTAACCGAATCGGATGGAAACAAAGGTGAAGGAAGGAATCCGCTCAGCACTTTAGGGGCAGGCTTACCAATGCCCTTCCTAAAATGCGCGTTGATAGATTGACGAAGGGCCTTAAACCCTCTTCAAGGATGCTTAAACTTGCGGCACCAAAAAACGACCTGCAACCCATGCTTTAGGGTCCAGGCAAATTGTTTGAGGGAACCCCCAACCAACACCATGTTCCATCTCCCCCTTCATCTGGGGTATTGCGTTGGCAAAGCATATCTTCCTCTGGAAAATGTTTTCTTTTAGGCTGCTCCGCAAAACGTACGCGCCACTGGGGGTGACAAATGGCACAGCTTCCTATTGGCAAGTGGTGTGATAAAATCAACAAGTGGGAACTGCGCCGTCTTCTTTCAAGTAACTGGGTATATGTCATTCGTTCGCACCCATGATTCCTTGACCCTGAAGCCTCAAAAACAAATCGCCCAAAGCTGTGTGACGACACCCCGCCCGAAGCATCCCGAAGCACCCCATGCGTCGCATTGGGCCCCCCGCTTTCCAGGGCGCGCGCATCCGCCGGGGTGAGCTGCTGCCCCAACCGCTGGGCCAAACCCATGTGCTGCAGCAGCGACTTCATAAGCTCCACCTCAGGCACTCCCAAGCGCCTGTTGAACGGAAAGGACGAGCCTCTAGGTTTAGGTAGGGGTTAGACGGACTTGGGGTTGGGGCGGGGTTGGTTTAGTTAAGGATTAAAGCGGGTTGAGTGGGTTTGGGGTGGGTTTAGGGTAGGATTAGGATATGTCTAGGGTGGTGCGAAGCGAGCTTAGTTGCTTGCTTGCTTGCTTGCTTGCTTGCTTGCTTGCTTGCTTGCTTGCTTGCTTGCTTGCTTGCTTTCCAGAATCCAGCGAGCAAAAATCCTTGAATTATATTGCACGCTTGTTTTATTGTGTGTTTTCCTGCCAGTACCACTCCTTTGGAATAAAAGGGTGAGATGAAAAATAGTATTGAGCCAAATTCTAAGCAAATGGACATTGGCCAGGCTTGGGCCCTGACAAATAAACCTGCTCCTGCCGCCCCCCGCAACCACACCACATCCCGCCACGCCACACACACACACAAACAAACAAACACATATGCATTTACCTTTGTGGTTTGCTTTGAGCTTGCCCAAAAGGTGTAGGTGTGTGTGTATGTGTGTGTTTGGTGGGGTCGTATGTTCCTCAGAAAGGGTTGTAGATGATGCATGTGGAAAATGGCCCCCTTTCCTCTGATACCAATGTGGTTGATTCGGATCCAACCATTGCAGCTGCATTTCTTTGAAGGCGATTTTCAAGGGCATCCACACTAAGTGGCAGCCTGAAACCCAATTCCCGCAACCATAAGGTCAGCTGAATCTGAAGGAGAGGGACCTGAACAAAAAGGCATGCTACGATCTGGAAAACAACAAGTCACCCATCCATGTTTCAAAGCGGGGATAACAGCTCGGACAAGTTGTTGCTATCAAAACATGGCTGCTCAAAAGCCAGGATTGGCCAATCATGTTGCTCCTTCATCCCTACCCCTTTTCGCAACCGGGGAAGAAGCGGATTGCGTTTGAACCGCGCGCTGGTTCCAAGCAAGTCGCATTTCTTGGCAGGAGTGTAAAAAATCGAACCTTTGAGAAGGCCGCTGCAAACGGTCTTCTCTTGAGAGGGAGCTTCCAGAGAATTGCCGTACAATGCTGAAACCAACTCCAACCCTGAGGGAACTGAACTACTTCTCCCGCTTTTTTTGGGGGGAAACCACTGGTCGCCTTCCATGAGCTGAACCGACTGGGAAACCCTTGCAGTCCAAAACGAAAGGACCGGACACAAGGGAACCCGGACTAAAGGATTCTTTGCCTCAGAATTAGTGAAGCCTCCCACTTTTGGCGAAAACACCCTGAATCAGCCTGAATCTATTCGCCGGATAGAGAATATTATGAGGGCCTCAAGAATAAAGACTTGGATCCCACTATGATGACTTGATTTGGTCTTGACTTACCCCTCGACCGTGCAACTGAACTTAGGCCCTGTTGGGGTCACTCAAAGGTGATGCGGGGGAAGGTCCTGCCTGATTCCGCAGCTTCATGCGCCGCCGGCTGCGCGCCGGGAGGATGCCAAAGTCCTGGCATCGGGACTAAATTCCGAGCTCATGGGAAAAGAGGCAATTCTTGCGGCAGCTGTTGTAAGGACTGGAGGTCTGGTGGAACTGCTAGGGGGTTCCCCATGTCAGGCTACCACACGTAACCCTTTCGCAAGGGCAAACATTTGGCCCCTGGAGAATGGCCAAAGGACCCAACCCTGCATGCTAGCTCCTAGTCTCCAGAGGGCACCACGCGACAGACAATTCCCGTGCGTCAAACAGCCAAAAAGCACCGTCTCCGCATCTTCCTCATCATATGTTTTTGGCTGGGAGCACCAGCCCTGCAGTCCAGCATGAACATTCGAGGCCGGATCCAAAGAAAGAGCAAGGCACATGACAAGGCACAAGGCCCTCCCCAAGACTTCCAGTGTGGCAGTGGGGTAATGTGCGATCTGGCAGCACCCCACCTCAAACCAGGCCGCATGCAGGGCCTCGTCGATGTCTTGCAACCATAGCCTCACTGAAGGAAATGGATGGCCAAGTCAAGCTGTAAATGTTCAGCTAAACAACACTTCGCTTTGACAAGTAAGTTTTTTGGCTCCGAAAACCTTGGCTGCGAAACCCACCCAAACTACGGAGGTTCTTTGGGCTACCTTGGGCTACCACTCAGAGGATCGGCCCCTTTGGTTGGCCAAACCAGCTGAAGCAACCGCAGGGAGGCAACACGTAGGTTTGATTCACCCACGCCAAAGCCCTTAGGACAGCTTTGGAGCGGGTTGCCAGTCGCTTTGGTTTGTTGGGTGCGTGGGCCCCTCAGCTGAGAAACCTCGCCAGTACCTTGTCCATCCAGCCCATTCAAGAGTGATGCCAGGTGTTTTCCCCTTTTGAAACCTCCTTTCCGCTCAAGAGACATCCCCAAGTCCCTGATCTCTAAACTTGTTTTGTTCCAGCTTGAGCCATTGGTGTGTCAAGGTCCGCACCAGGGTTCGTGGATACAAATCCCGACGGAAATGATGTCCGCCTTTCCGGGCCCCTTCAAATTCAGACCCAAAAAGAGCTAGATTCCTAGCTTGACTCCCATGTTGCGGTCGAAGCTAGGGACTCACAGGACTCGCCCCGCCAGTCGAGGCGCTGGGGGGCCTCGAGCGCGCTGCCAATGGCAATCGCCACCTCCTCGCTGGACGCGTGGGGCAGCGCCTGCGCCCCACATTTTGCCGCAGCTTTGGACCCCCGAAGTGGGGAAAACCAAGTTGGAACCTTCAGGGTGCTGATAGTTTTGCTTCGTGAGCCAGGGTGGTCCAATTTGTCTGGAAAACACGGGTGAAACTTCAAGTGGCTTTTCAATGCGCGCACACGCACGCATACACCGCCCTTTTAGGAAACATGCCGTGTTCGCTCGGGCCGATGTGGATGTTGGCTGTGGAGGGCGCATATCCTATCAGTGTTTGGAGGTATTGTCAGACATTCGCACAAGCACCTTTGAAACGAGCCGGGGAAAACAGCGGGACCCGCATGAACGATGGGGACCCAATAGTTGGACGCTGTCATGGTCTTTAACTTCGTATCGTTTGCAATTGCATGCCTTGCCTGAGGAAAAATCCAGAAGGACCACATCAACACTGTCAATAGCAAGTGAGCTGTCTACCTCATGCCAGCCCAAGGCGGTGGCAACAGCCTGGTGCAACAGCAGCTGGTGCAGTATCTCGCGAATCTCAGCAGTTCGTAGTGCTATTATAGCTGCTCAGGTCGACGACCCTGTACTGACTCGGCGCACTCCCCCTTTTGACGGTGCCCACCGCTTTGTTTTGTGATGAGACTATTTTCAGCAAGTTTGCAGCCTTTGCAAAAAACTTTGGCGAATGATTTCTCCTGGAACTGGCAGTATGTGCAAGCTTTCCTACTAGCCGTGGGTGGGGCTTCTCAGGTTTTCCTTCATCTTGGCAGTAGCATGTGTGGGAAGGAGACATTGCACTTCCCCCCCCCTTCCCAATGTGTTGCGGGGCTTTCGCCTCATCTGTTACAGGTTCTGGGCACGGCACCTCCCAGTAACCAGCGTCTCACTATGACAAGGCGCCGTCTGCCAAAAGGATCACCTTATCGATTACAGAACCCATACTCACTCATGAAAGCAGACATCTAGTACTGATCATTCAGCTCCCTTACTGTATATGGGTGTGTCTTTCTTAAGACCTCCCACAATGGAGTTTACTCTCCTTTTGGTTTTCCACCTCCCCCCCACCCACCTCCAAAATAGCGCTCACCGACTCCACGAGCTCCGCGGCGCTCTTGGTGGCCTGCGACGAGTCGCCCGCCGAGAGGTGAATGAAAAAAACCTGGGAGGAACGAAATCCTGCACCTAGCAAACCCCAAAGGGATGGTTTCCCTGTAAATGCCAACTAACAGCGATTTCCCATGGTTTCCAAGTGGTGCAGGATTTCGTCCATCCACAGTATCAACAGGAAAGGGAGGCGGCTTTCTGATTCTTACATCTGTCTACAAATAACGCAGCTCATGGATCTGAAGCCAAAACACCCGCACAAAAAACTTCAACCCTTGCTGAGGCATTTGCTTAGTGGTGACCTTTGATTTATCGTCCCCCTGTTCAACAATGGATCCCCTTGAAACAGGTGGCTTTTTCCCAGATTAATTGGCTTCGAATTGGGTTTTATTGCTGGAGCCTGCTTTTTGAGACTGGATTTGAGAAATTCCAGCAGTGATTATTTTCAGGGCTGTCTACGAATCGTCTCAGGGAGCAGGCTGGTCAATCGGTCACCGTTAACTTGAAGCAACCACATAAAATGGTCCAGGGCCTCGTTATGGGCATGGAAACTCCCTTGAAACTCACTAGTCAATGAAAGCCAACATAGGGAGGCTCCCTGAGGCAATCTTCGGAACAAATCACTCAAATGTCACAAACTAAAATTCAACGAAAACCTCGAACAATGACAAACACCTCACTTCCTGAGTAAGCTGGCCAACAAAAGTCCAAGCTTTTCAAATGCTTGTTTGTCACTAACATGGTCATACCAACAAGTAAATCCAGGAACTCAGAAAATGAGACACCCTCGGCTTGTTGCTATGATGGAAACGGAACGTCTCGGGCCTTGCTAAGGGCGTCGTTGGGGCAAGGCAGTATCTGGCCTCAGTGCCCGTCCCTCGCCCTCCAAAATGGGTCGCCCCAAAAAGAGAACCCGCGAGAGAAGACGCACCCAAAAGCATTCCTTGGGCGGTTTGCGCGTCACCTTTTGGTGATGGCGTTTCGTTTTGGCGGGGTGGTGTTTCGAAGCTCCCCTGATTTGATTGCTACAGTTGGGAAACTACATGACACAATTCTGCGGGTCGAGTCATGGGGTCCAACCACCGGTCACTCTCTTCTGCAAGACCATCCAAGTAGTGGTAGGCAATGCTGGATGATTTCAGAGCCCAGCGGCTGAGCACAGCCAAACAACCGCCCACGCAGGTCATGATCGCCTGGCAACACGCGGCAGGCAGCGGTTACCAGTTTGCGTTACCCCGAGCACACCGGAGAGCAACAACCATACAACACTCCCAAACGAATCCATTCCGCAAGTGATCTCATCGCACGCTCCTCATGTCCATCCTGGTAGCCGGGTTACAAACAACACGTCGCAGTGTCAAGATGCCGCCGCGAAACCCGGGTGCCATTGGAGCGAGGCCGGCTATTCACGATTCGGTGCTGGGGAGTGAAGCGAGGGATTCCCCAATTAATCTCCAAAGGGGAGAATGGAACCACGAGAATCGTGCGAGACATTCCAAGGTTCACCCGTTTGTTTCTCTAAACGGGGCGCCTGTGTCCAAGGATCCGAAGGATTCTCGATGAACGCATCTGAAGTCGGGGTCACAAAAAGCATGAGCCAGTAGGCGAGGTAGGTAAAACCTGAGCCAGTCCCGAGAAACAGCAGCTTTGGGGACCTAAGGCAGGGCTCCCCTTGAACGCCGGGGTCCCAAAAGCCCCTTGGCAGCCCTTCGACCTTCGCCCTACTGCTTTGCATGGGACAAATATGTGCTTGTCTGAAGGATATGCGCCAAGCTGGTGTCATCTGACTGGGTTCTTGAAATCATGATGCCTCTCTATACTGTACATCCAGTGAATGTTCAACCCTCCAAACATCCAAGCATCTAAGTCTCTAAGGGTGCGGTCTGTTGCGCTCGCTGTGTGCAGTTTCTGAGACTGGCGAGGAGCCTACCTCCAAAAAAGTGCGGGATTCAACGACGATTTCACCTCACGGGTGTTTACTTGACCTGTACGAATGAAACACATCAATTTCGTTGTGGTTGCTTTCTAGGCAATGTTGCACTGGGCGGGCGATGAAGTTCACCCGGCATTGGCGTCACCCAGCTCCAAGTCCCCAAAAAGGACCCGCGTCACAAAGCTTCAGCTCGGTCATCTTGCAGCCCGGCAACCATACAGCCGCACACAGAGGCCGAACCCAGCCCACAGGATTACCCCGTGGAAGATCGTCAGGTCCAAAGTGATGATGAGGGCTTTGGCGGCGTCCGGGGTAAGACTGCTCCAGTGCCTCATGTGGGGTCAAAATGCGCACCTTGGAACAAAAGACCTTTGAAAGAAAGATGGATCATCTGTCAGTAGCATACCTGACAAAAGACGGAAACAACAGATCTCATTGAGAGTTGTGCGGAAACTCGGGGGTCTGCAAAAGCTCGACATCATCCGTAGGTTGCTTTGATTGGAGCCTCAAAGGGAAACTGAATGTCATGCTGGTCACGCGTCACTTGCCCCGCCCCCCCCCCGAATGCCAAAAGGCACAAAGACCGCACTCGCCCCCCGGCTAAAACAAGAAGGGAGAAAGGTTAGATAGAGTAAATGCCGTAAAATGCCCCCAACAAACAAACAACTGGATTGCCTTTTCGTTCTCTGCCAGCTTGTTTTGCGACCAGCTTGCCATTCCAAAGGGACCAAAGGGACACCTTCACTTTTTGGGGGGCCAAGCATTTTTCAACAACCGCACAGGGCTTCGACTACCTACGTACCCCGAAGGGAAAGTCACATATATATATATATATATATATGTTTTTCCCTGTCCCCTTGCTAGTGGTTTTGGGTGCTGGAAACCATTTTGGACGAAAGGGGGCCTACGCACTGCCTTTTTTTTGCTGAGGCGCACATTCAAGAAGCAGTTCTGCATAAAGTCCGCGGTGCTGTTGGTTTGCACAAACCGGGCTCCGTTGCCGAGGTTGCACAGTGGCAGCCAGTCCTTAGAGCTGAAGCTGATACGCTTCCATTGTTGTTGCAGAGAGGGGGAGAGAGAGAGAGAGAAGAAAAAAAGAGAGGGAGAGCAAATACCACACGTTAATCGTTGTGTTGAAGTCCTGTTGATGGTGTGGTTGGTAACAATACTTCAAACTTGCCCAATTTGTTGCAAGAAGAAAACACACGTCTATACTCCCTCGCCCCTGTGAAGTGGCTGTTGGGGGTTGGCTGAGGGCAGCCTGGGCTAGGAATTTAAAAGGAACTCCGAATGCCTTCCCAACGCTAAACGACCCCTCCACCCCCCCTAATACTAAGTGGGTCCCCCGGAGAACACCGGTTTCAGCATTGGGGAGGAGGAAGTAGCGGCTTTGTTTTTTAGGCTCGGAGCAACTCTGACCTTTCAGTAAGAATCTGAGCGGTAGAGCGTTGCGCCCGTCACCGGGTCCAGGACCTCGCTCCGTGTCTGGTAGGCACCGCCACTCATGTAGGAGCCAGTCATCTGAGTGCGGGGACAGGGCAAACAAGAGATTTTGTCGAACTATTCCAGTACATAAGCCTGAAGTAAGGAAAACCCCGAGCAGGGAAGCTTCATGGGCGAGTTCGTTTTGCGTTCAGGTGAGCTCTGTAGAACGAGTATTTGTTGGCTATATATAGACAGCCAAGATGTCTTGACATGGGCTTTTTCGGCCCCAGTTTGGGTTGTCATTATGTTCCTCGAAAAACCACGCCTGCCAGTGCAACATTTTAAGTAGCCTTGGGAGCCACGCATGTTGCTGCTAGCTAAGTGCATGATTCTTTTCTTGATAGTGGGGTCCCACCCGCTGAAAGTGTTCGTAGAACAAAAATGGCGTAGAACCACCATTGCTTGCCGCATATAACCACAATTGTTTGGTGCAGAACGGACATGTGTTTGCAGAGGGCGAAGCATGACAGAAATGGATAGAAAAGGGTTCACTTTCACGCGCTGCATTGCCAGGTTAACACCGTGCTGGTGTTTTCGTGGCGCAGGTGTTTGGCATCCCCGGCATCACAAGCCTCACTCGGACCTAGGGCCTCACTCTGTTTGTTCGGGGCTGGTTGAACTGCGGGGGTTGGAGGCTGGCTTAGATTTTAGTAAGGGTGGGTCTTGGGTTGGTTTCATTGAGTCTCAGCAAAGGGCTGACATCCAGGCTGCTGTTGGGTGGGGTAAAGGCTGACTTCGGGTGGGTTTGGGGTTTGCTCGGAGCTGATTTGTGCTGGGTGTGCTGCTGGTTGAGCGTTGCCCCAACCACCAAGACTAGCCAAAAACTCACATAACTACACCCTGAAGCAAACCTAAAGCCACCGCTAAACCAGCAGCACACCTAACACAATTCAGCTCCAAGCGAACCCCAACCCACCCAACAGCAGCTTGGATGTCAGTGTGTGTGTGTGTGCATGTGAGCGTCATGTTGTTGCAGATCAACATGTAAATACAAATGATACAGCACCTGGTGACTGCTCTTTTAGCAGCTGTATTTGGGAATGGGGATGTGCAGTTCAGGCTCCAACAAGCTTATAAGGAAATGTCATGCCTATTCACAGCTCCTCCAAATCTACCTTGGAACCGGTTCGCTTCTTGAACGCGCAAGCCTGGTCGAACGCTTTTACCACAAAACGGGGTCTGCAAAAAAAGGCACACTGATTCCACGTCAATGTCATGACGTGTCGCAGCTCCTTAACACTACCTGAAAACTGACTTACAAGCTCAAGCTTTTCACGCCTTCCCATAAACACAAAAGACAACGAGGAATGTCAAAACAACAAAGGCACCAACACCGAACAGCCAACGGCTCCTGGTCAAAGGCCTGCCATTGTTCTTGGAATATGATGTTTTTTGACTTTGTTTTTTTTTGCTTCAACAAAACTCGACAGCCTTCACACGTTTCCCCCGCAAAAAGAGAAAAGACAGACGCTGAGTGCACAACTTGCATTTCACAGGACAAGGCAAAGTCTTTGCCCGACATATACTTAAGACATGGGAGACACCAAAATACATTTGGACACATGCATCACGTTGCAGGGATGCGCTTGGCACGTGGCATACATAGGGCAACCGTGTGCTAAGCCAACACTGGAACCGCAGTAGGAATAGAAAACGCATGCCAAACATGTGCTAGCTAGACACAGTTGTTGTAATTTTGCAGAAATACTAGAGCTCTGCTGGAAGCGAGGGACCTGCCAAAGAACACCTGCTATGCTAGAAGAAACATGCTAGGATAGACGGTAGGCGTACATCAGGCAACGCTGAGAAGGCAGCGTGCAAAGTCTTCTACTTACAAACTGCCTTAGAATCAGATTGGACACCTAGTTAATGTGTACATGGGGGGGGGTGTTCAAAATAACGATGCCTAGAAATCATTAGAACTCACCCAAGTGCCGGCCTTTTGCAATCCTTAGCGGGCCTCATGTTTCCTTTCGCAGGAGCCCAATGTGCGGAAAATGCTCATTTCTGCATGCGATTTGTCAATGCAGTTTAGAACGACCCTCACATGCCAAGGTCAGTGCTACACATTGGCTGGAGATCAATGTGTTCGATCTGCATAGCAGCACATCACACTGGAAGAAAGCCAAACGACACAAAATCACACCACGCAACAGAACTTCGAAAATAGCTCCATATTCGTCTGTTTCCATAGTCTATGTATCAGTTTATGCTTCTTGCGGAAGTGGAGAGCCCTGGTCAAAAGGCGCGGGGCGACTTGTCGACAAGTTGGGCGCTCCTGGTTGAGCAACAGCATGTTCAGCAGCGCGAGCATCGTGCCGATGATGCCCTGGTCTATGGCAACTCTCGACGGACGAAACCCGAGAACAACTTGGGAAATGGACCCTTGTGGGGGGGTCCATGTGATCTTGTAGGGGGGTTCTTATTCAGCTTCTGGTGCGCATTTTGGGAGGGTACCTTTTTTGGAGTTGAAATGAGTTTCCTGTTTGCAGGGGCGGGTGTACTGAAAGGGGGACATCAAGAAACCCTGCCTCCAGGGTGTAGCGCACTGAGGCTCCTAGCGAGGGCGCCAGGATATAGCAGAAGTTGGACAGTGCCATGCCATAGCTTGCCATGTACCTCAGTTGAGCAGCGGCAACCCCAAATTCAACAGTTGTGACGATTCTACGTGGGGTGCGAATCACCAAGAGGTAAAGAGATTCCCCTAAAGTGGGAGCGCGACCCCATGTATCAACCAGGGGGTTCGCCTCGGGACGGCCCGAATCGTTTTGCAGTTTTTGGATAGCGGCTGTTGGACAGGGCTCCCCCCAATCGTTTTATAAACAGCTGCTGAAAAAGCATGTCAGTAGCGTCCGCAAAGCATGTGACACGCCTGCCGACACAACACCGCCAAGCACCCCAACCCTGCGGTGAAAACTGATCCACGCCTCGTTCGTTCCGCAA